CTTCCGCCAGCCATGAGCAGCCAGATCCGTCGGCCAGCCATGAGCAGCCAGATCCGTCGGCCAGCCATGAGCAGCCCGATCCGTCAGCCAGCCATGAGCAGCCAGATCCGTCAGCCAGCCATGAGCAGCCAGATCCTTCAGCCTGCCATGAGCCGTCCAGCCAGGATCCGCCAGAGCCAGCCAGCCAGGATCCGCCCCTTAGTCAGGTACTGTCCCTTAGCCCGGTGCTGCCCCTTAGCCCGGTGCTGCCCCTTAGCCCGGTGCTGCCCCTTAGCCCGGTGCTGCCCCTTAGCCCGGTGCTGCCCCTTAGCCCGGTACTGTCCCTTAGTCCGGTGCTGCCCCTTAGTCCGGTGCCGCCCCTTAGTCCAGTGGGGTTTAATTGGGGGGTGGTCATGTGGAGGAGGCTAGGGAGGCGGGTGGTGACTAAGGTGGGGTGGGGACCACGACCAGGGCCAGAACCGCCACCGTGGACAGACGCCCACCCAGACCCTCCCCGAGACTGTATGCTGGTGCGCCCGGAGTGCGCACCTTTAGGGGGGGGTACTGTAACACTCTGGCTCCGGGACTTTTGTATTTGAGCCAGGGTGTATTGTGTTTTGTTGGGTTTTGGGTGATTTTCTATGTTTGCATTTCTGTCACGTTTATTTCTAGGTTTGGTCATTGACTCCCAATCGGAGGTAACGAGTGTCAGCTGTCGGCTCGTTATCTCTGATTGGGAGCCATATTTATACTGCATGTTTTCCTGTGGGCATTGTGGGTTATTGTTCCGTGTTTCAGTCGTTGTACTGTGGACTTCACGAGTCGTCTTTTGTTTTGTATTTTACGTGCTTTACTCTTATTAAAGTCATGTTCGTTCAACGCGCTGCGCTTTGGTCTCCTTCACTCCTAGACGATCGTGACACTGTCCAGAAATATTCCATTGTCTATGACTGTGGCAGACATCTGTGTGTGTGTGTGTGTGTGTGTGTGTGTGTGTGTGTGTGTGTGTGTGTGTGTGTGCGCGCGTCACAGTTTTGCACATTTGCCTTGCATATCCTGCTTTCAGACATGGTGTTTAAATCTACTTCCATTTTGCTGAGGGGGAAGTAAAAAGGATCTAAATGCAATGCAATAAATATATTATTGGGAAAGGATTTGAGTGCTTAGAGGAGTCTGAGGCCAAATCAACACTAGTTATCATATCATAAAAAGACAGCATATATAAACAGTGATAAATCTGAGCCTAAATCTAATCCTAAAGCTATTCCTTATTGGTCACAAGTCTTGCTACAGCCTTGAATTGTTTTTTTTTTGCAATAGGTCTTTAACCTGGCAGCTACGTCCCAGTGGCTGAAAGTGTCTGGACTAGCTGAAATTAAGGTTAAGTCAAGTCAGGTCAGTGTTGGTAAGTCTGGTGGCAGCGCAGGTCATTAACAGCCCTCTAATTCAGGGATGGGGAACTGGCGGCCCGCGGATCTATCCCCCCCCCCCCAACAAAATATATACACTGAGTATACCAAACATTAAGAACACCTTGCTCTTTCCATGAAAGGCTGACCAGATGAATCCAGGTAAAAGCTATGATCCCTTATTGATGTCACTTGTTAAATCCACTTCAATCAGTGTAGATGAAGGGGAGGAGATATTAAACAAGGAGTTTTAATCCTTGAGACAATTGAGACATGGATTGTGTATGTGTGCCATTCAGAGGGTGAATGGGCAAGACAAGAAATGTAAGTGCTTTTGAACGGGGTATGGTAGTAGGTGCCAGGCGCACCGGATTGTGTCAAGAACTACAACGCTGCTGGGTTTTTCAACAGTTTCCCATGTGTATCAACAATGGTCCACCACCCAAAGGCCATCTAGCCAACTTTACACAACTGTGGGAAGCATTGGAGTCAAAATGGGCCAGCATCTCTGTGGAATACTTTCGACACCTTGTACAGTCCATGCCCCGACAAATTGAGGCTGTTCTGAGGGCAAAAGGGGGGGCTGCAACTCAATATTAGGAAGGTGTTCCTAATGTTTGGTATACTCAGTACTGAACAAAAATATAAACACAACATGTAAAGTGTTGGTCACATGTTCCATGAGCTGAAAAAAGAAAGTCCCAGACATTTTCCATATGCACAAAAAGCTTATTTCTCTCAATGGACAAATTTCTTTACATCCCTATTAGTGAGCATTTCTCCTTTGCCAAGATAATCCATCCCCATGACAGGTGTGGCATATCAATAAGCTGATTAAACAGCATGATCATTACACAGGTGCACCTTGTGCTGGGGACAATAAAAGGCCACTCTAAAATGTGCAGTTTTGTCACACAACACAATGCCACAGATGTCTCAAGTTTTGAGGGAGCGTGTAATTGGCATGCTGACTGCATGAATGTCCACCAGAGCTGTTGCCAGACAATTGAATGTTCATTTCTATACCATAAGCTGCCTACAACGTCGTTTTAGAGAATTTGGCAGTACGTCCAATCGACCTCACAACCGCAGACCACGTGTAACCACACCTGCACAGGACCTCCACATCCGTCTTCTTCACCTGTGGGGCTGAGGAGTATTTCTGTCTTTAATGAAGCCCTTTTGTGGGGAAAAACTAATTATATTTGGCTGGGCCTGGCTTCCCAGTGGGTAAGCCTGGCTGCCAAGTGGGTGGGCTCTCCAAGGCCCACCCATGGTTGCACCCCTGCCCAGTCATGTGAAATCCATAGATTAGGGCCTCATTAATTTTTTCTATTGACTGATTTCCTTAAATGAACTGTAAATATACAGTACCAGTCAAAATGTTGGACACACCTACTCATTCAAGGGTTTTTCTGTATTTTTACTATTTTCTACATTGTAGAATAATAGTGAAGACATCAAAACTATGAAATAACACATATGGACTCATGCAGTAACCAAAAAAAGTGTTAAACAATTCAAAATATATGTTTTATTTAAGATTCTTCAAAGTAGCCACCCTTTGCCTTGATTACAGCTTTGCACACTCTTGGCATTCTCTAAACCAGCTTCATGAGGTAGTCACCTGGAATGCATTTCAATTAACAGGTGTGCCTTCTTAAAAGTTAATTTGTGGAATTTCATTCCTTCTTAATGCGTTTGAGCCAATCAGTTGTGTTGTGACAAGGTATACAGAAGATAGCCCTATTTGGTAAAAGATCAAGTCCATATTATGGCAAGAACAGCTCAAATAAGCAAAGAGAAATGACAGTCCATCATTACTTTAAGACTTGATGGTCAGTCAATACGGAAAATTTTCAGTCGCAAAAAACCATAAAGCGCTATGATGAAACTGGCTCTCATGGAAAGGAAGACCCAGAGTTACCTCTGCTGCAGAGGATAAGTTCATTAGAGTTAACTGCACCTCAGATTGCAGCCCAAATCAATGCTTCACAGAGTTAAAGTAACAGACACATCTCAACATCAACTGTCCAGAGGAGACTGCGTGAATCAGGCCTTCATGGTCGAATTGCTGCAAAGAAACCACTACTAAAGGACACCAATAATAAGAAGAGACTTGCTTGGACCAAGAAACACCAGCAATGGACATTAGACTGGTGGAAATCTGTCCTTTGGTCTGATGAGTCCAGATTTGAGAATTTTGGTTCCAACTGCCATGTCTTTGTGAGACGCAGAGTAGGTGAACGGATGATCTCCGCATGTGTGGTTCCCACCGTGAAGCATGGAGGAGGAGGTGTGATGGTGTGGGGCTGCTTTGCTGGTGACACTGTCTGTGATTTATTTAGAATTCAAGGCATACTTAACCAGCATGGCTACCACAGCATTCTGCAGCGATACGCCATCCCATCTGGTTTGCGCTTAATGGGACTATCATTTGTTTTTCAACAGGACAATGACCCAACACACCTCCAGGCTGTGTAAAGGCAATTTGACCAAGAAGGAGAGTGATGGAGTGGAAAAGCAGCCAACAAGTGCTCAGCATATTTGGAACTCCTTCAAGACTGTTGGAAAAGCATTCCAGGTGAAGTTAGATGAGAGAATGCCAAGAGTGTGCAAAGCTGTCATCAAGGCAAAGGGTGGCTACTTTGAAGAATCTCAAATATAAAACCTATTTTGATTTGTTTAACACTTTTCTGGTTACTACATGATTCCATATGTGTTATTTCGTAGTTTTGATGTCTTCACTATTATTCTATAATGTAGAAAATAGTAAAAATAAAGAAAAACCCTTGAATGAGTAGGTGTGTCCAAACTTTCGACTGGTACTGTATATATTTTAGGAACTCAGTCGGGGTCTCAACTTACTGTTGCGAGTTAGAATAGTACATTTTCTAAATTTGGTTGTGCATAGGCAGTTTTCCTCGTTTGGTCAGTCACTGATAGTCAGTCAAATATCTCATGTCAGCAAAAAAAAGCAAAAAATTGATTGCTAAGTTTGTTTAGCAGCCAGCTATCTAAACTTGTTTTCATGGTCGAATTACCGGCCAGGGGCCCCCAATGATTTTGTTAGTCATTCTCACTCTCATATCATATTCAAAACTGCAAACATTTCTCTCCACCCTATGGCAAAATGAGTCGAATTGCAGGAAATGAACTCTAAAACTTGAAACATTTCTCTCCACTGTCAAGAGGAGGGCCACTCAAATGTTTTGCTCTCAATGTGGTGGTGGGGGGGCGGGGTATGGATGTGGTTACGCAGACCCGCAAGCAACTGCAGCCCCACATGATGAGTTCAGATTTTTTTGTGGCCCCCACCCCAATCAAAGTTGTCCATCCCTGCTCTAATTCAATCCCTGAGAACACAGTAATGCAGAGCGGAGCAAATGGAGAGTCAATGGAGTGTAACACTCTCCTCCCTCCAACACAACCGCTCAGCCAGATTAGACAGAAAAGATCCTTGGTTAAGTCAGATGATCTCTTTAGAGGGCCAAGACATCATTAGGTCATCATTAGGTCTATTAGCAGCAGGGCACATGTCTGAGTGATTCTCAGACCTCTTTTGGGTGTACCGGATGCAAGAAGGATGAGGACAAATTCAAACTCTGCTTACCTTAGCCTTAGGACCATATTCAGAGCACCTTGAATATAGGGCCCTGTGTTCTTCTTAAACGGTTGAACCTGTAAGTAAAGAGTGAGTCTGGTGAGTCAGTAAAGTTCTCAATATCTCCTGGAGTATAAAAAGATATATATATCTGTATCTCGCACTATGCTGAAATGATTCAACTACAAAACCAACAGAAGAATACATTAATTATATCACACAAAATACATTCAATATCTACAGTGTATATACTTGTATTGTGTATTCTGACAATATTATTGAGTTCAATTTGTGAGGAGGCACAATCTGTTGACACTGACTAGATCCTGACTCAACAAAGTAAGAACCGCAGTAGCACTTATGGCCTCCATCACTGTCGGACGCGGGGGGTGAACCTCAAACTACTCTGGCTCATTTCTGAAATGACAATGGCTAGTGAGAGAATGGCACAGGCCTTTTAGATGACTTTAGAGCTGGCAGTATCAGCAGGATGGCCATTTACTCTGACTTATTACCTGCTGAAAGGGCCCCTCCAGGAGCTACAGGGAGACTGGCACACACTCAGTCACACACACTCACACACAATCAGTGGGGCATCAAGGTCACTGAATCATGACAAATAACGTCTGCCTCTGCTGCTGGTGGTGCTGATACTGAAAAACTCACCTGGGGATGCTGAATGGATAGCCCTTCAATGGGAACACTGTTGGCATTCTCCTCATCCTGTGGCATAAAACGAAAGGCATTTAGTAAACTATATATTTTTGGGTGCTATGGAAAGGCTGTTTAGTGGGTGAACATTGTTAAGAATAGCAAATCTTAAAGATCAAGGTCAAGGTCAAGGTCATTGCTCATCTCAGTCAGCAAATAGAGAAAAGTCAATAGAAAACAATCAATATGTACAACATTTTGTTGTTTTTGTTTATGAACAATCAAATAGAGAAAGCATCTATACACGTTTGTCCTCGCTAAAATCCATGAGTCAGAGAAACTGTGGCGGGTAAGATGTACTAGATTTATTTAAGATTTCATAATTGATACATAACCTGCTCCCTGTTGAGGCAGGCAATTATATTTTCCAATGATGCCCTTTGTAAAGTAATCAAATTACACAGAAACAGACAGAGGCAAAGTAAGTCAATTATCTTGGTCAATGTGCAGGTTTACACACTCACAACAATCTATCTTCACCCACAGTACACCTAAGCGTCTTTCTCTATGATATTAAAAAGACTCTAACAATGACAAATCGTGTACTCCATATTTGTTTATAGAACAGAAAAGAGCTAACTTACATCTTCACCCTCATCTTCGTTGTCCTCTCTGAGCCTTCGCGACTGGAAGGCAATATCAAACACAAACAAAATTATATTCTCAGTCTTGACAAATCTAAATATGACTGGCAGATGTAGAGCCCAATCACCTTAGATTGCAATCCCTGCAGATAATTAGCATAATGTAGCGTACAGGAGGCAACAGACAATGAAAACTGACCCAAGTAGAATATCATTATAAGCATTTCATTTGTTGCATCTTTGCCTTGTGTACTTTTCCCTGTAAGAGACTTTCAGGTAAGGCATCTATATCTAGAACCTTTACCAACTATTTTAAACGACATGTCACAGGCCCCTCTGTGAAACAAAGCTCGCTCACTGCTTTCACAGAAATACATTCAGCTAGAAAAGTACAAAGGCAAAACAAAAAGGAAGTATCATGCTAGCCAAAGTACAGGTAAAAAGAGTTAGTTGTCGCTTTTTTCCCCAACAGTGGCCAAGTTTGGATGTGCATCTCTTGTCATGGTCTCACCTACCCTGCCTTGATTGACAGCAGCCTTGCCCTCCTCGCTCCCCACGTCGAGCTCGTCATCGCTCCACTCCCAGTCTCCATCCTCCATCTTGTGCAGGTGGCCGCTGGACCCTGGAACTCTCCTCACCTAGGCCAAACACACCACAACCGTTTAAACATCCCATCAAACTGTAGGGCTGAGAGACAAAACACATTTAGTAGCCCACACACCTTCTAATGTTCTCTCACTAAGGTCAAAACCAACACAACATTAAATGGTATTTACCTGGCCCATATGAGCTGATGGGATTTTAGAAATATTTCATAAAAAGTGCAGGTGGATACCAGTAAGCGTTGCACAAACACTTGGGCTCGGATTCCTCTCAGAGAGTTTTTAAGGTCTACAAAATGGCTGCTACGAGCTAGCAGAGCACAAAAGAACAGAGTAAAACAAAATGGAACAAAGAAAACGAAACACACACAACTCCTTAAGCAGCTAACTCTGGATTAATCTAAGTGGAAACACCCAGCATTCTACGGCTAAGTCAAAGAACATGTACCCTTCTGATGGCATCAAGTTCTTTCTCCGAACCTGACACAGAGCCCATGCTCCTGGAATTCTGCACTGGCTCCTTGAGCAAAACAAAAAAGCATCAGTCCACTCTGATCATCATCACCTGCACACTGTATGTGGATGAATGTGACAGTTCAGTGGCCTGTATCTCTTTACACACACACATACGGCACCATCAAGCTGCCAAAGCATGTGAACAACTACATGTAGTACTTAATAGTAATAGGAACATTTATGAGCATGCACACTTAGAGAAACGCACAAAGGGAAAATATGGGATGAAGGTGTACATACAGGCAAATTACAGGAGCAATCTATAAATGCTCTGAATCGATACTGTATCATCTGTGTACTAGCGTAGCAAATCAATCTCAGTATTACATCAGTATTATCTTCCAACTTTCAATAACGTGACACATCAATGACTGCTGCAACGCACCGCCCTCGATGTCAGCCTCTAGAAGTAATCTTTGATCAATACGTCCTGCGGGTCTCCCTATGAGGAGATCAACTAACGAGCAGGGCTGCCCTCTTCTGGCCAATGAACAACTGTAAAAATTCTGTCATTTGCCTAGAGATACATGTCTCGAATATTCCTATTTTGTATTAACTCTGGTTGAATGAATACACCTGCAGGGGAGGAGGGAGGCTCAGGGAGGAAGGGAGTCTCCGGGAGGGATCAGGAGATAGACAGACTGAGGAAGGTGGGCAGGATGGGAGGGAGAGTGACAGAGATGTTTCTTTTTGGATGCCTCTCTGTCAAACAGCTGAAAATACAATATTTTTGGTTATGGAAAATATATTTCACAGTGGTTTAGATGGTGCAATGATTCTCTACAATATTCTTACTTGTTTTGTCACATATACTGAAATTAGACGAACTATTAGAATTTCACCAACCAGGAAATGGCATAGCGATTTCTGCATAGTGCACCTTTAAACCATGTTTACCAAATTAGTCAACCCACACACACACACGATCTGAATGATTGTGACTGTTGTTCTGACCAGCAACTGTCCGCCCCTCTGTCTGACAACTCTGTCACGAGTCACTTCCCTCTCTATTGACATTATACTCTGCTAAATGATTGGGTCACGCGACACCTCCACAGTCCCCCATGTCCTCCAGTCACCCATGCCATGTAAGTGAATTTCCATCCAACTCAATCACCCTGGCTTTTTGCCTTCTGGCAATAGGGTCTTCGCACCCATTTCATTCAGTCATCCACATGGAGGATGATGGCGATCCAATATCAACCTTGCCTGCCACACTGCTGCACTCATGCCCAGTTCACTGTGACCGCAAGGCAAACTGAGCATGCAAATGGTATGTTTAAGTGCACCTCCCATTTCCTAACCACTCACATTAAATCACATTTGTCTTTGTCTGCCACTTGCAGTGAGCGTCTGAGCGACATTACGGACCACTAATGCATGAGTTGTAAGCACATGTATTCTGCATGACTGATATTGTTCCAGGAGTGGCCCATATTTGCAGCCTAGCCTCACATAACAGTTTGAGCACAAAGTGAATGAAGTGTTGATCAGAAAGAGAGAGAGAGAGAGAGAGAGGACACTCGATGTCTGTTGACTGGTGGAGTGCACTGCCAACCCATAACACCTTACCATACTTTGTTCATAATGTTTAGTCAATATTGAGGCTGCTTTACTGGGAATGATGTTTGTTTAGACATTACCCTTTTGGCTCTCTGGGTTATGTTCGGTGCTCTGCATAGCAGCTTTTCGATCAGATACTCTCTGTTCTGCAAATGAAAATCACAACCCATGTTAAACAAATCTACATACAAATTCTTTAAGCCTCAGACAAACAAATAGAACAGGCAAAATCCTGGAGGTAAAATCATACCTTTGCCTTCTGGAAAAATTTACATTTCAAAAGTTCTGCTGCTGTAGGCCTAAAGAAAAATAAAATACATGGAGATATAAGAACCCATTCCAATCATTGGCCTGGAGCTGAATGTACAACTGCTACAATCTGTGTGAGAATAGATCTTCTTGGGTGGGTATGAGTGAGCCCACTAAACATGAAGACTACATTTCTGGACTCTCCTGAAATGTGTCTGACATTCGACAGAGACTCGATCAACACCCAAGGCCATCAGATTTACTTTATCATCAACCAGTGACAGACTCTTCAGATTTGAAGTGTAGGCCTAATGCAGTTCACAGAATGGCAGATATGGACAAACCTCTTGGCGGGCTCCTTCTGAAGGCACAGGGTTATTAGCTTCCTAAATGATTTCCCATATTTTTTCAGCATCTCTTTGTCCTCCACACCCGTGTCTAGGGTGGGAGGATCGTTCTGTAAGGTTAGCATTAAGACCTGGGAAGAGAAAAGGAAGGGTCAAAAGCATTCAAGTGTTCTCTCAGAGGTTACATAGACACAGGGTAGTAATTTGTCTTTCATGGTTTATTAGTTATATAGTTTTATATACAGTGGGGGAAAAAAGTATTTAGTCAGCCACCAATTGTGCAAGTTCTCCCACTTAAAAAGATGAGAGAGGCCTGTAATTGTCATCATAGGTACACGTCAACTATGACAGACAATATGAGAAAAAAAAATCAAGAAAATCACATTGTAGTATTTTTTATGAATTTATTTGCAAATTATGGTGGAAAATAAGTATTTGGTCAATAACAAAAGTTTCTCAATACTTTGTTATATACCCTTTGTTGGCAATGACACAGGTCAAATGTTTTCTGTAAGTCTTCACAAGGTTTTCACACACTGTTGCTGGTATTTTGGCCCATTCCTCCATGCAGATCTCCTCTAGAGCAGTGATGTTTTGGGGCTGTCGCTGGGCAACACGGACTTTCAACTCCCTCCAAAGATTTTCTATGGGGTTGAGATCTGGAGACTGGATAGGCCACTCCAGGACCTTGAAATGCTTCTTACGAAGCCACTCCTTCGTTGCCCGGGCGGTGTGTTTGGGATCATTGTCATGCTGAAAGATCCAGCCACGTTTCATCTTCAATGCCCTTGCTGATGGAAGGAGGTTTTCACTCAAAATCTCACGATACATGGCCCCATTCATTCTTTCCTTTACACGGATCAGTCATCCTGGACCCTTTGCAGAAAAACAGCCCCAAAGCATGATGTTTCCACCCCCATGCTTCACAGTAGGTATGGTGTTCTTTGGATGCAACTCAGCATTCTTTGTCCTCCAAACACGACGAGTTGAGTTTTTACCAAAAAGTTATATTTTGGTTTCATCTGACCATATGACATTCTCCCAATCCTCTTCTGGATCATCCAAATGCACTCTAGCAAACTTCAGACGGGCCTGGACATGTACTGGCTTAAGCAGGGGGACACGTCTGGCACTGCAGGATTTGAGTCCCTGGCGGCGTAGTGTGTTACTGATGGTAGGCTTTGTTACTTTGGTCCCAGCTCTCTGCAGGTCATTCACTAGGTCCCCCCGTGTGGTTCTGGGATTTTTGCTCACCGTTCTTGTGATCATTTTGACCCCACGGGGTGAGAACTTGCGTGGAGCCCCAGATCGAGGGAGATTATCAGTGGTCTTGTATGTCTTCCATTTCCTAATAATTGCTCCCACAGTTGATTTCTTCAAACCAAGCTGCTTACCTATTGCAGATTCAGTCTTCCCAGCCTGGTGCAGGTCTACAATTTTGTTTCTGGTGTCCTTTGACAGCTCTTTGGTCTTGGCCATAGTGGAGTTTGGAGTGTGACTGTTTGAGGTTGTGGACAGGTGTCTTTTATACTGATAACAAGTTCAAACAGGTGCCATTAATACAGGTAACGAGTGGAGGACAGAGGAGCCTCTTAAAGAAGAAGTTACAGGTCTGTGAGAGCCAGAAATCTTGCTTGTTTGTAGGTGACCAAATACTTATTTTCCACCATAATTTGCAAATAACTTCATTAAAAATCCTACAATGTGATTTTCTGGATTTCTTTTCCTCAATTTGTCTGTCATAGTTGACGTGTACCTATGATGAAAATTACAGGCCTCTCTCATCTTTTTAAGTGGGAGAACTTGCACAATTGGTGGCTGACTAAATACTTGTTTTCCCCACTGTATAAGCATATTCCGCTTCCTGTCTGGCACCTAGATATGCAGTGATCAGGCTCACCTTCATGGGTGGGTATCGGTGGTAAGGTGCAGACCCTGTTGGCCAACTCTATGGCAGTGATTCCAAAACTCCAAATATCTGCTTTGAAGTCATAGCCTCGTACCTGTGGACATGGCGGCATTACTGTTAGTATTGTCCAGTGTATGTGAACAGCTAGTAGATGTTACTAAAACTGGCCACAAGATAGTCTCACCTGTTCCATCACCTCAGGGGCCATCCAACATGGTGTGCCCACAAAGGTCTTCCGTACTTTGTTTCTGGTCATATCTCCTCCAGTGGCCAAAAAGGCACTAACTCCAAAATCTATGGGGAACATTGGATAATTCAGATGACATGTGTGGATGTCAATGTTATACCTCATTAACATCTTATAGAAAGGGATAATAATGCTTTGCGGTATTTGCTCAAATATACTCAAACCATTAAGAGGTCTTTCATAACTATTTCATGTTATACACCTTATACAAATTGTGCACACTCAAGATCTTCAGTTGCATTCATGTTAGAATGGTTCTCCTTGCAGTGTTTGTAGGCTAAAGGTCATCCAAGTACATGAGAGACTGTAGGCCTCCAGTGATTTATGATGGGGGACCTGTTTGACTACCTTTATGTTAATGTTATTCAGTAAATTGGTCGTTCCAATTTCACCTAATTTTAGCATTCTGTCATAAAGAGCACATGTTCAACTTAATAAAAAACACGTTCTCCCATCTCAAGAGGTTAAATTTTTTTTTTAAAAAAAATACTATAGTAAGTGCCTATTATGTGCCAAATAAAGTAACAGGGTTGACTGTAACAGGCTTGAATGCAAGCTTCACAAAAAAATGAAATAGTTACAACATTTCTAGCCTGTCTATCTATAGGTAACATCGTTGAAGTGTTATGCTCGATCCACCAGTTTTCCACCACAAAACACCAGAAAATGGCCAAAAAGAGTAGAACCAGCTCACCTGCATTTACACTATGATTTTACTATTAGATGTTCATAGTCTCTTTTGAAAAAAAAATATTTAAAAAGGAATAGTTTTAACCATATTAAAACAAGAGTTCAGTTCACGTAACAGGGTTGACCTTAAAATGAGGGACAGGTTTTGACCTTGAAATGAATCAAAAATCATTTGAAATAAAAATAATCTTCAGAAATTACTTTGTCAAAGCAACACAATAACTATGGCTTTGCAATGATGGTGAAAACTTGCAGAAATGTTGGGGTTAGGGGCATTAAAATCTCCCTAGAAATCACAGAGGAGATGCATGTCAAAATGCTGAATTTTGGCACTTTAGCAAGTCTTTATTCATATTAAAAATCAGTGGTCTATATTAAAGGCCACTTCATTGAATATAACAGGCTCGAAATTGGTGCACAATTTCTACAAAAAAATATAAAAGGGACACAAAAGGCACTCATTCTGTGGAAAGACCCAAATATTGTCAACCCCCATGTTGTAAAAATACAATACAGTGGGGAGAACAAGTATTTGATACACTGCCGATTTTGCAGGTTTTCCTACTTACAAAGCATGTAGAGGTCTGTAATTTTTATCATAGGTACACTTCAACGGTGAGAGACAGAATCTAAAACAAAAATCCAGAAAATCACATTGTATGATTTTCAAGTAATTAATTTGCATTTTATTGCATGACATAAGTATTTGATCACCTACCAACCAGTAAGAATTCCGGCTCTCACAGACCTGTTAGTTTTTCTTTATGAAGCCCTCCTGTTCTCCACTCATTACCTGTATTAACTGCACCTGTTTGAACTCGTTACCTGTATAAAAGACACCTGTCCACACACTCAATCAAACAGACTCCAACCTCTCCACAATGGCCAAGACCAGAGAGCTGTGTAAGGACATCAGGGATAAAATTGTAGACCTGCACAAGGCTGGGATGGGCTACAGGACAATAGGCAAGCAGCTTGGTGAGAAGGCAACAACTGTTGGCGCAATTATTAGAAAATGGAAGAAGTTCAAGATGACGGTCAATCACCCTCGGTCTGGGGCTCCATGCAAGATCTTACCTCGTGGGGCATCAGTGATCATGAGGAAGGTGAGGGATCAGCCCAGAACTACATGGCAGGACCTGGTCAATGACCTGAAAAGAGCTGGGACCACAGTCTCAAAGAAAACCATTAGTAACACACTACGCCGTCATGGATTAAAATCCTGCAGCGCACGCAAGGTCCCCCTGCTCAAGCCAGCGCATGTCCAGGCCTGTTTGAAGTTTGCCAATGACCATCTGGATGATCCAGAGGAGGAATGGGAGAAGGTCATGTGGTCTGATGAGACAAAAATATAGCTTTTTGGTCTAAACTCCACTCACCGTGTTTGGAGGAAGAAGAAGGATGAGTACAACCCCAAGAACACCATCCCAACCGTGAAGCATGGAGGTGGAAACATCATTCTTTGGGGATGCTTTTCTGCAAAGGGTACAGGACGACTGCACTGTATTAAGGGGAGGATGGATGGGGCCATGTATCGCGAGATCTTGGCCAACAACCTCCTTCCCTCAGTAAGAGCATTGAAGATGGGTCGTGGCTGGGTCTTCCAGCATGACAACGACCCGAAACACACAGCCAGGGCAACTAAGGAGTGGCTCCGTAAGAAGCATCTCAAGGTCCTGGAGTAGCCTAGCCAGTCTCCAGACCTGAACCCAATAGAAAGTCTTTGGAGGGAGCTGAAAGTCCGTATTGCCCAGCGACAGCCCCGAAACCTGAAGGATCTGGAGAAGGTCTGTATGGAGGAGTGGGCCAAAATCCCTGCTGCAGTGTGTGCAAACCTGGTCAAGACCTACAGGAAATGTATGATCTCTGTAATTGCAAACAAAGGTTTCTGTACCAAATATTAAGTTCTGCTTTTCTGATGTATCAAATACTTATGTCATGCAATAAAATGCAAATTAATTACTTAAAAATCATACAATGTGATTTTCTGGATTTTTGTTTTAGATTCCATCTCTCACAGTTGAAGTGTACCTATGATAAAAATTACAGACCTCTACATGCTTTGTAAGTAGGAAAACCTGCAAAATCGGCAGTGTATCAAATACTTGTTCTCCCCACTGTATATGTCTCTTTCGTGTAGAATATACTGAGTTGAACTAAATGCACTTATACACTGGTACATCTACATTAATGCTGTATTCCTAGCCAATAAATAAAATATTTGCTTTTTAATCTCAGTATTTTGATATTCTTCCTCAATAGGAGTGGGGCTAAAAGGTCATCAGGACAGGAAAAAGAAACACTCAGTCAATATGTAAACTACTGTGTATTCGCTAGCTTCAAAAATATATTAATCTTTGCCATTTTACAAGTCTATTCCTACTATTGACTGGTGAAGTCTGGCATTATGTCGATTATGCTGTTGAATTAACTGAATGTGTAGAAGCATCGTTAAAAAAGTCATACCATTGTGTCAGTCAGTGAGCTGTGAGAATAGAATGTAACAGAGACATTACTCACACACCTGCAATCTGAACAGAGCCGTCCTCTCCCAACAGAATGTTCCCAGCCTTCACATCCCTGAGGTCACACACACACAGCAAAAACACCCCAGTCATGCCCAAACAGTATCTATCTACGTAAGTGGAGCAGGATCGATTGCATCCATGTGTATAAATTAGTTTTGCAGCCTGCTGTCATTTGGAACACTGCCTAAGGGGGTAATAGTGGTTTAGTTCTTTATGACCTTGACATCCAGGCAAGTTCAAAGAACACAATCTATGTCAATAAATCACATTGAAACAGTAGATAATGTCATCACAATTTAACTAATACCATGTAACTCTTAGATTACATTTTATAGATTAATACTTTGTAACATTTATATACACTCTTTTAAGGAAGACCCTGTGCAAATAATTAATGTTTCAAACTCCAGGCAGTGGAGGCTCCTCAGCGTAGGGAGGGGAGGACCATCCTCCTCAGTGAATTTCATAAAAATAAAATAGTTAAACATTTAAAAAGTTATCATTTTTAGATAAAACCATACTAAATATATTCACGGCACCAAATAATTGATTAAAACACAAGGTTTTGCAATGAAGGTCTACAGTAGCCTCAACAGCACCATGGTGTAGCCGGAGGACAGCTATTTTCAAAACCTAGGAGGCTCGTGGTTCTCACCCCCTTCCATAGAATAACACAGTAATTATGGCAACTTCCGGAGGATGTCCTCCAACCTATCAGAGCTCTTGCAGCATGAACTGACATGTTGTCCACCCAATCAAAGGATCAGAGAATTAATCTAGTACTGAAAGCATAAGCTACAGCTAGCTAGCAATGCAGTGCATTCCATGTGGTGAGTAGTTGCCTCAAAGATAGAGAAAGACAATAGTTGAACAGTTTCAAAAATTAAGGAGAAGCGAGAGAGAGAGAGAGAGAGAGAGAGAGAGAGAGAGATAGCTATATTTTGTTGTATTTCTTTTTCAATTTCACTTTCACTTACTTAGCTAGGGAATGCAGCTAGCTAGTTTAGCCTACTCAAACACCTGGCTCAAACAGAGCGGAATGCTATGTTAGCTAGCTGGCTATGGCTATCCAACTCTGGAACGCTTCCAAGTCAAGGTAAGCTTTTGGTTTTATTCATTTATTGCCACCGGGGCCCGCCGGTGTACCTGCTAAACTGCTTGCTGCTGACTGTACACTGTACTGCATGATTGTAGGGGGTTTACTAACGTGTTAGTTCTTGTAGCTATGTTGACTATGACGTTAATATGGTGACAATGATGTATGCTGTGTGTAGCGGTTAGCGGTTATGATATGAAGGTTTGGCTTGGAAAGTTTTTTCCTCCTGGTCACAGAAATCTGTTGTGTTGTGTACTGAAGTCCACAAGCGAAGGGAAAAGGTGAGAAGAGAGCGCGTAGATGCGAGAAAGAATACAACGATCAAAGGGATCATGCTTTTTTTTATGTGGCTGCTATGAAAGTGAACTGTGTTTGCGTGTGATCAGGGGTGTATTCATTCCGGCGATTCTGTTGAAAAACGTTTCTTAAACAGAAGCAAACGGAACGAAACGGGGATAAATATACCTGAATTTGTCCAATAGAAACTCTCGTTTGCAACTGTTGGACATATGATTACACCCTAGATCAGCTAGATGCAGGCAATAGTGTGCAAGGCGGTACTGAATGTGTCAATATCTGTCACCTTGATTACTCAAATTTAGGGCTGATCCGTTAGTCGACTGGTCGATTGTTTGGTCGATAGGCTGTTGGTCGAGCAGTCTAAAATATATTTTTCTTAAATTATGGCACGAGACACCCGGCTGATTCACGCCTGTTTCAGTGGACTAATCCATTGCTGAGGCCACAGGGATGGCACACCAGTATCACCAGTAGTACATTTACCGTTCATTTCCATAATTTCTAATCTACAATGTTTGTTTGGTTACGGTCATTTCTGTTAATGCATTCAATATATTATTATTATAGTATTTTACAGTTCTCATTGTCGGAGTGGACACGTTGTTTGCGGACTGCACAACCTAGGCTACCCTTGTGAGGAACAAGTTTTGGTTTATTTCATTCCATTTAGGAGTTAATTTATTCATTGTCGTTTGTTTGTAGCTCTCCTGTCAATGTTGAGTAAGGACGCAGACCTTATACATAGAAGTAGGCCTAGGCTACCTGGCCTGCACGCAAATGTAGGCCTATAATTGTGCCCATTTGGGGATTTGATAGCATTTCTGATTCTTAACTCACCACCACTTTTGAACTAAACATTTCTTCACCTCAAACAGCAAGTAAACGAAGTCTGTTTTTACATCCATTGAGAATGACAATAGTTCCCCAATGTAGCCTATTTGAAAAATATTTCCAGCTCTCTTTCGCTAACCGCTCAGCGTGAAAGGGGGGAAAAAAATGTCAAGCTCTGATCAGGTGGAAACAAAATAAAATAGGCCTACCTGATTACTTCTTATCCCTTGTGCAAATAGCCTACAGCTATGTCTGTTCGGGGCTCACTGGCGCTGGAAACTCTGAGGTCCCAGAATATTTTATACAATATTGCAAGTTTGCTAGTTTAAGCTTCAGGCTGGACCCAAGTTAATAGTTGATACAATGTTTCAAGTTCCTTGCAGACATGCCATGTGTAGCCAATGTGATTAATAGGATATTTATTTTTATCAGCATATTTTCAATGTTTTTATTTGTTGGCTTTACGTAGGCTATTTTTACATAGTTGGCAATGGCAATAGAAGTTACTTTTAGAATTTTGATTACCATATGATAATGATTTTGAGATAGGAAGACGTTTTTTATAAATGAAATGAAACTGTTCCACAAAAATTTGCATATAAAAATCATAACTGGCACACAGATCGGTAGAAATGGTAAGATAAATTGGCACTCCAAATGGAAAAGGTTGCCAACCCCTGGTGTAGCCTATTAGGAGCATAACAGCAGGAGTGTAACAGCAGAATCTGTGAAGGCCAGCAGCAGCGGGAGGAAGAGGGTTGGGAACAGCTTTTTTCTCTTCTGGTTAGGCTATCTTGATCTCTGGCTCCCTCGAGTCATTTGTGTGTCTTAATTATTTAATCACAGTGTGCTTAAAGCATCAGACAAGCTCTGTAGCCTAAGTATAGTTGATTTTATTAAAACACATAGGGTGTGTCTATATAGGGAAAAATACACGTTTAAAAATGTCTACCAATCGATTGGTCGAAAGAACAGACAACTCTAGGTCGACCAAGATTTTTTTTTGTCGGGGACAGCCCTACTCAAATTTCTCTCGACCTGTGCACCTACGTTGTAAACTTTCATTCATAGGCTAGGTTGTAGCAACCTCATGATGGGTATAGGGAAAATGTTTGTATCATATAGTAGCCTAAACCTATCGATGTTACATTGAGCTGGGTGAATGGAATATGAATGACAGTCATCCAATATGCTGTAATAGGCCTCCACTGACTCCAGGGTATCTTACCTGTGAATCTGTCCGTTTTTATGCAGGTAGTCCAGTCCCTCAAGGACCTCTTTTAGTATGGTTGCAATGATGAGCTCATCTAGAACTCCATTTTTGTGCTCTCCTCTGCTAAATGTATGCTTTATTATATCCAACATGGATCCTAAAAAGAGGAAGCAGACAGAAAAACAGTGCCCACAATGACCAATGCAGATATGTCAATTTCTACATAAGATCCTTCCATGTCAACTGTTCTATTTACTCATTCTGCCTTAAGCAAGTTTGTTACAATGTTCGATATTCAACCCAGCCATATACTGTACATGGTGTGATAACACTTAACTTCTAATGCCACTGCACATAGGTCTACAGTAAACTGATCAAAAGCATGGACAATTGCTTGTTACATGATTGTTAACATTTTATGAGAATAATGTCATGACATTTGTGAAAGGAGTCACATTTTAGTCTATAACAGTGTTATAATAATAATAATATATGCCATATAGCAGAGGCTTTTATCCAAAGTGAACTATATGTTATTATGGTCACTTTCAATGTGTAGTGTGGAAGTATAAAAGAGATAGCAGTTCTATTACCTCCACTCAGAAGTTTCATGACTAACCAAAGTTCATCCTTTACCACAAATGAGGTGTAGTAGGTGACAACATTTGGATGGTTGCATTGGCTCATGGCTTGAATTTCTTTCTATTGTACGAGAGGAAAGAGGCTCATATGAGAAACAAATTAAAGTTAACAACTTTTGACAACCTTTCTTATAACGAGGATTGTTCATAGGTCATTTGCGTCTCTAAAATTAAGTGAACAAATACTGTAACTCATGGCTAATTTCTTATTCAAATGGACACTTGCGTGTAGCACAGCCCTCACAGATCCTACTCAGCCTCTATTAGACACACACAAGAGAGAACACCAAAGTCTAATTACAGCCCAATCAGGAAAGTATGGGCCAGAGAGGGCCAGAGGCACTGTGGTCACACAAAATGAAAATATAGCCTTTATTTATTGTTGCTCTCACCAATAGCTCATCCATGCTAGTCTGGCATTTCTCCAAGTTGATTCTCTTTATGGCCACGCGTTCCTGTCTGGGGGTGCAGAGGGCAGCCTGCACTACGGCTGTGGCCCCACTGCCTGGAATCACAGACAAATAGAGGCGCAATTATAAAACAGGGCAAGAGACAGTACAGTAACATCAAATGTGACCAAGGTGAACAGCATAATGGATCATTGACACATGCAGGATCATTGTGTGTCTGTTTGGGATATTAAACGTTTTCTGTGACATTTAAATGATAATTCCATGACAGTTCAGAACTGAACTGAACCAATACAGTATGTGCAAACATATTTTCTAATCATATGCTAATTCCTATGCATAACAGTCAGTGTATCCAAAGACAAAGTTGTGAAGAGGGGTTTATTGAAGAACCAGGCCATGCTAGGCTTTAGTTGTCTTGTACTAAGAATGTGACACAGTACACACCATGCCAACTGCCGGTGACAGATAAGGATGAGAGGAGATCGGACTGCTCAACAGTTGATTATAAGCACAAAACAGATGACTGACTAGCCACAGCAGCTCATATCCCTTATCAGCACTGATATGGCTTTCTTTAGCTGTCAGTGTCAGCTCAAATGTCTCCCACCATTCACAGGTGCCGAAATTCTTAAATGAGCAGAAAACCTCAAGTATTTGGGGAATGACTGTGAATAACTGCATTATAGGCCTACCAAATGAAGTCTGGCGTTATTACCAGTAGAGGAAGCAGAGAGTGACACTGACCAGCAGCGAGTGAGCTCAGTATTGTTACAATGTAACCGGTTCTATAACTCCTTGATGTAACCTAATAGAAGTGAAAATAAACCTCAATGACCTATGAAACTTGACTGACATGCTGAAACAATAAACTAAACATTCTTATCCACTGTAATGTTTTATCTATGGATTATAAAATAAAAACGATGTATTGCTTCCAGTGAGGCAAATCAACATCTTAAAATGTATATAATTATTTTTACAACTATTATAATACATTGACAGAAGAAGGCCTATAAATTATGTCTATAGGCTATTTGTCTTTCCTTTTCCAGAGTCAACTAATAATCTGTGACAACATTCTCACAAAGTAGACAAAAAAATTGCATAGCTTATTACCCATCATAATCATGATCATAATAGGCATAACATTATAATCATAATCTTCATAATAACATTTGTCTTTTATTAAAACTGAATGTTCCTCATGTTTTTTTTTTTATGTAGCCTGACAGTAGATCCTCTTTCTAACTTCAGAGTGGCATGCAATTCAATATCCCTGCTCTTCCGAACGATAACATGCCATTCCCGTGAGGACTGCATCCATGCATAGACTCATCTATTTCAATATTAGCCTACTGGACATGTGCAATAAAGGAGCATCGTTCGGCATAGACTAAATCGAATTCATTAAAAACGCATTTACATTAAATGCCTACCCATATGAACACAACTTTACAATGACTATAAATATCTCTCAATATGATGAAATAAGTGGTTTCCTCTTACAAGAGCAAGGAAATAGAGGTTGTTAACATCCGCATTGCAAAGCATTAAAGAGACGCTGTTGAATATGAAAAAGCCGGTAGGCCCTCGTCGTCATTCACCACTGATAACCGCCCGAGTCATATCCATGATAAAACATTATATCATTACACTATGGAGAAGTAGCCTACTAACCTATGACTTCCTGTAACTCGTACGACTCCCTGGTAATTGGCCAGCTCGTTGTCAGCACTGGTTGCGGATTCTGGACAGGAGCCGGAGATTCGCCTTGCTCCGCCATGATGCTGCTTTTGCTGCTGCTGCTGAGCTAGCTACTTAGCGACCCCAGACTGTAAAATGTGCATTCACTTCTGACTACAGAAGTGTCAGCTGCTGCAGAGCATTACTACGGTTAGTGCAATCTAGAATCCTTCGGACGTTCCTAAACCCTAACCTTAACCCCTACCCTTACCCTAACCATAAGCATAACCGTTACCATTACCATAACCATAACCGTAAGCATAACCCTTACACAACCTTAACCCTCCCTTAACTCTTACCCTAAACGTTTAAAACGTCAACTTCAATGGGGTGACGTCAGAGTTGGTACGTCCCGAGGATCCCGTTTAGACTTTTCCGCATTACTACCGCCTGCGATGAAAACATCAGGAAAATAAAGGGCCACATTCATTGTGCAACTTTCACCACAACGACAATGTGTCATTTTACTTTATTATAACCTATTATAATAAAATGTCTACCCTATAGGGCTTTGAACAACAACCAATGCGCTAAATATGAAAATAAATTATGTTAATATTTAAGATTGCCTATTCTATTTCTCTAGATTATTGGTTGAATAGGCTGAATTCAAATATTAGGTCTAATCATGTTAAAAAAAACAGCACTTTAAATGTTGTGATAGGCCTATTAAAGTTGATCTTTTAAAAACAAAAGTCAATTTCAACTCTGAAAGTTGTCTTTGTTAGTCACTAAATCAAATATAATCAAATGAATTGCCTATTATTTGATTAATAACTTAACTTGAAACAATTCATTCGTTTTAGGCCTATGGCGTTGGTTACAGTTTTGCCTGGATGTTTTGTATGACGCAGTGATGAATTGTCGTGGTGAAAGTTGCACAATGAATGTAGCCCTTTATTTTATATATTACATTGTATCATGGATGATAAAAGTTGCTACGAAGTATCACAGAGAGCACTCATAACATCTTTCCACTAGATGGCAATATTATACCTTCAATCACATACCAAAATTCGTGAGGCACTACAATAATGCATTTATGAGGTCCTCTTGAGAAAGTACATTGCTGATTACACTAATAAAAAAGTTGTCCTTTTATTAAATTAATACACACATTCACATTCTGTATTTTCACAAATCTATGCATTTATAATCTCTCGTGGAAAGATTCGTCTGCCTAGGCTACAATTACGGGAGACTAGTTCTGGGTAAACCGAGATGAATTAATTAATGCTATAATTTCCTCGACATGAACATTATACAGCAGCTCTTCTGCTATGAGTGTAGTGTGCTGGTAAGTACGGTGGCATGATTGACTAAGTATTAATGTTGATGCAGTGCGTGTTCACATTTTTTTTGCTTTGAATGGCTGTGGGACATTTGCCTAACTAAAATGTGTCAGGAACATATTATTCAATGATTATTTCAGCCTAACAACAATATAATCGTATTATTCTGCATTGTATTGAGGGAAAAAAAATATCAACAGTCAAGGGACACCCAGCCTATTCCATAGATTAAACTAAAATCATGTAAGATACATTGCTAGTGCCATACACCACTTATGCGTGAATACCTTTGTATAGCGACAGCATGTGTGACATTTCAATGCACCAATCACTTGCGGAGGAGTAGATGCCTGATTCATTCTACTTCCCTACACTGGAAAGAAAATAGACCAGTGTGTTGTGAACAACAGCGTGAGCAACAATAGTGGAATCGGCGGTTCCCATCAAAATAAAAGTCCCCCATTGAAACTGATGCAAACGGATAAAAATTATGGAATCATGCCACAATTGGACTACATAATGCTAAACAAGGTTGGAATGTTGTTATATAAATTCAACAAAAGACAAGTATTAGTTAATTTGAAAAATCTGTTGATTGCACTGTGGATGAATTGGAATTCAGAATTGCATTGGGGGCATACTTATATGTACTGTACAGCCTAACCTATGGATTGTGCACCCATGAAATGGGTTATCAGCCTACTTTTTTTTTTTCAAATTAACTAATAATTGTATTTTGTTGAATTTATATAACATTATACAACGGGTGGGTCTAATCCTGAATGCTGATTGGTTAAAACAGCATTCCAACCGGTGTCTATTCCACAAGTTACCACCTGCTAAATCTATGACTTTAAGATGCCTATTTACTCTGCTGTGCAATCCACTGTCTCATCAGCCCAGCCAGGCAATTTATAAACTTGATCTCCGCTTAAAAAAAAGCATCTAGACATTATCTCACATTTCTTTTAGACTAACATTTAGTTTTCAACAGTGGAGATTTGTATAAACCTTGCTGTCTGTCTCTCCAACATTTGCAACATTGTTTCAATATTCAAATTCGATCTCCAGCTGTCCCATAGTAATGAAAAATGTATGCACTCACTAATTGTACGTCGCTCTGGATAGGAGCGTCTGCTAAATGACCAAAATGTAAATGTAATGAACGTTTCGGAAGTCGGGAAGAGACAGACAGGCAGGGAGCGTTTCTCAGCCAGTCGAAATCATGAATCAGCTGGCATCATTTTTATGGATACATACAAAGAAATGTCAATTGAAACAATTTCTAACGAAACGAAGTGCAGCTAGTTTGTAGTCTTTCCAGCTTCAGTTTGAAGTGATTGTGTTACTGTAGCTGTGTTGTTGGCTAGCTCCTCTGAACAACAGTGTCCTGACGAGTGAGCACATTTTCTATGCCAGGCGAAATCGCACCTCATTAGCTCATTGTTATGGATGTATCCAAATAAATGTCACTAGAAAACAGCTTAAACAAATGCAAATGCAGCTACTTTGCTGTTATTCTGGCTGTACTTTTTGATGTGACTGTAAATTAGCCGTAGTTGGCTAGCTAGCAAGCAAGGGATAAGAACGTTGCCAGCCAGTATGGCAATGGAACATTTACAACAAACGACTAACCATAAATACAGAACAAAGACTGAACGACTGGGTTGCGTCTCTGGCAACCGAACCGATAGAATGAACGACCAGCCGGCTTGGGTAGCAACCCTAGATTTGTGTCGGGACAATATATTGTGGATGGATGAAATAGTATGAATAAATTAATAAAAATAACGTTTTTAATGAAAATATATCAATCATTATTTGCATATGTTGGTAAACTGAATATGATGGTAACCCTCGAAGCCAGTGTTTGGAGGATATATTGGCAACCCTCGAAGCCAGTGTTTGGAGGATCCCTCGAAGGGTTACCAACATATTCGGGTTACGAGGGTTACCAACATAAACATTCCATGTTTAGCATTATCTAGTCCAATTGTGGCATGATTCCACTATATTTATCCGTTTGGGTGTTTCAATGCGGGGACTTTTATTTTGAAGTCAAACCACCGATTCCACTATTGTTGCTCACACTAATGTTGTTCACGACACACGCGTTTGAAATAGACGGGCGACGCATACACTGACCCCATCACACTAAAAACCTGCGAAGATCGCCGGTGAGAGACTGCTGCGACTACGCAATAGGCCATTGATATCGCATTCATTTATCGCATTCATTTCTGGGCCATTGGTAAAGGGGACAACGCGTACATAATCCAAGGAAATGGCTGGTATTTTGACATGGTTTTGGAACGAGAGATTTTGGCTCCCTCACAATGTAACCTGGGCTGATTTAAAAAACACAGATGAGGCAACATTCCCACAAGCCGAGGATTTGTATCTGGCTTGTCCTTTAGCCTTCTGCATCTTTATGATTCGACTGGTTTTCGAAAGGTGGGTGCATTCAGAAGTGATAACCTTATATTGGTATAACTGGAGATAATGTTGGGTTCGTTTAATTTACATGTAGTCAAAAGAAAGACTGTTTTAAAGAACATTGTATCGGGTAGGCTATTGAAGCATGTATGCTCACACTGAATTTCTAGACAATGACATGCACATGATGCGATGTATCAAGGAATGTAACATTGTAGCTTCTCTATAGGCCTGTCTGTTACATTGTAACAATGCTTCTATGAGATATTAATAATGTGTCGGAGCAATAGAGCTGCATTTGGATATTAATTATTTTCTCCATAATGAGAGACATGCTGGCCTAGCATCCACGTTGCAAGTTGCAGCTGTCAATAGGAGGCAAGGACGTTATTCGAGTCATGCTCGTCTAATTTAGCCTACTATTGACCTTGTAAGGGTCTGTGATGCCTATGTCTTGATGGTGATCAGTGTTGAGCTTCATGTTGTTGTTGTAAGCCTGCCTATCCCAATTGTACATAGTCTACCAGGCTAAGTGTTGATGCTAGACTGGTACACCACTCAGCCACATGGGATGCTCTGTACAATAGACCACAGACATCAGTAGGAAACAGACAGACTTCCACAGCAGTGTCTCAACATTGCCTAATACTACACTCTTTATAACGGCTCATCGTGATATGGCATATAGGTGTCTGATTTTAGATTTGTGTGCATTCGTCAGTAGGCTACAGTTGAAATCTATTTTAGTGTAGGCTACATACATGTCACTGATTGGCTACATGTCATAAGGTCATCCTGCTGTCACAACCACCACCGTGACAGTCACAATGGAACTTTTACATAGAAATATGTGTGCTGTATAAGTCTTCATGGGACAGTTGAGAGGCTTGTTGTTAAATGTAAATGTCCTTGATTACTGATGATATGACCTATAAAATATGGTTTGATTATGATTGCACTAATAGGCCAAACAAAAGTGAAGACTGTGGTTCCTGCTGTGAAGTGTTCCTAGACCAAGATGTTTGCTTTTTAATTGTAGATTATACACACAGCTTGCTTATGCATACACAAGCCTCACATTTACTATTATCGGACAAGGGCATCTATGATACTATTTGCTAAAACAACATATTGTAGTACTGGATTAGTGTCCATTGAATCTGCCAACAACTGCTGTTGCCCTTATGTTGCCTCTCACTGAAGATAACACTACCTCTTTCAATGGCAGCTAGAGTTCTAAACTATATTTATACTGAGTCAGTGTTCACAATTCACTTTTAAGGCAGGCTTTAACAGATAAGGTTTTTATTGCTAAAACTGAAACGTTGTGAGGCATAACATTTCCTCATGAAAGGTCTGTTTATGGTGATCAGATTAGATTTTCTGATTGCTGACGACACTTCATTTGCAGAGTAAGGACTTTTTATGAATAGACCACTAGACTGCTAATATCTCTCTCTCTCTCTCAGCTGTCTGCACATGGACATTTCATCTTGATCTTGGCATACACTTCCAGCAGTTTAATCTTCCATAACCCTTTGTCCATTAATGTGACTGTTACTCAATCATATAGCTTCATGATGCCATCTTTCATTTATACAGTTGTTAAATTTAGCCAAATTCTTATATTGTAAATTGCTGACAATGTATACTGAAATAATAATTCAGCAATTCACACATTGTACTTATAGTTGGATAAGATTTTGAAGCTTTGAGATTTATTTTTAACAACTGGTTGTCAATATTGTCAATGTGTCTGCCATGATTGTCCCCATTTATCACGATCAAAACACTTTTCTGCTTAACAACAATTAGTTGATGATGATACAGTACCCACTGTGAGAATATTTTGATATTTTTGTGTTATTCTTTGTAGGTTTATTGCCAGACCATGTGCCTTGGGTCTCAAGATACAAGCCAATGGACCACAGAAAGCCCAGCCCAATGCCATTTTGGAGAAGGTGTTCACTGCTATCACCAAGGTAAAAAAAAAAGTAGTTCCTGATTTTCCACTGGAACTATGTGATACATTTGTTTGCATTTTAGTGCTGATAACATACTGTAGATTAAAATCAGTCTCTTTGCAAAAGGCATTGTATTCAGGTTGAGTCCAGAAAGCAAGACATCATGTTTGAAAGTATTTGTGCCTTGTTCTATTGATGCACCATGGTTATTATTAGCTCAGAAAGGGATGGAGGTCCTTTAACAAATGCTCAGATTCACATACTGAGCAATTTAGCAGACTAGCTCCACACAAGGTAGACATCCTCAGTCATTGTACATCCTCAGAAATGGAAACAAAGGTGTGTCCTCTCAGCTTCTTTTCAGGTGATCCCATAGTTTCACTTAGTGCTGGGGAAAAAATCGATACAGTTACATATCGGGGTATTATTTTTGATGTATCGTTTTTACAATATCGCAATATTATTTTTGCGCTAGTTGGCTGTACTCGCACCAAAACCCCAGTATTTTTCCTTCATAGCTTGTTCTCCATCTTCTTTTTAAATAGGGAGCCAATTTGTTTTCAGCACTTTTATTTCCATGATTGATCAAAAATTGTTTTCTCATGACTCTCTCTTTTCCCTCTGCAGCAGACATATGGTGAGCAATGTGTTTGGAACATCAAATCGCAATAAAATCACAGTATCGAATCGCTATACATATCGTATCGGCACCTAAGTATTGTCATAATATCATATTGTGAGGTCCCTGGAAATTCCCAGCCCTAGTTTCACTACCCCATAGTGCATCATGCTGATGAAACGTTAAGACATTGATTGCCTTTGATTTCAGCGAATATCAAGCCTGTTTTAACTTCATTTTAACTTCAGACATGTCACACCTTTCCCACAATAATGACAGCTTTGTTAACAGTCAGGTGTCTGGATCTTGTGTTTGCTAGCATCCAGATGAGAAGAGGTTGGAGGGCCTGTCCAAACAGCTGGACTGGGATGTGCGGACCATCCAGCGCTGGTTCCGACAGCGCAGGAACCAGGAGAAGCCCAGCACGTTGGCTCGCTTTTGTGAGAGCATGTAAGAGATCTCGACAGCTTCAGAATGCCACTTATTATGACTAATATAAACACATGTAAAAAACTATTTGCCCCCTTTCAAATGTTCTCTACTTTTGCATATTTTTGATACTGAATGTTATCAGATATTCAACCAAAACATAATATTAGATAAAGGGAACCTGATGAACAAATAACACAACAATCACATACTTATTTCATTTATTTAATAAACAAAGTTTTGCAATACCCAATGCCCCTGTGTGAAAACGCTATTCAAATCGAATCAAATTTTATTTGCCACATGCGCCGAATACAACAGGTGTAGACATTACCGTGAAATGCTTACTTACAGCCCTTAACCAACAATGTGTTTACTTTATAAAAAGTAAAATAAAACAACAACAACAAAAAAGTGTTGAGAAAAAAAGAGCAGAAGTTAAATAAAATAATAGTTGGGAGGCTATATACAGGGGGGTACCGGTGCAGAGTCAATGTGCGGGGGCACCGGCTAGTTGAGGTAGTTGAGGTAATATGTACATGTGGGTAGAGTTAAAGTGACTATGCATAAATAATTAACAGAGTAGCAGCAGTGTAAAAAGATGGGGTGGGGGTAGGGGGGCAGTGCAAATAGTCCGGGTAGCCATGATTAGCGGTTCAGGAGTCTTATGGCTTGGGGGTAGAAGCTGTTGAGAAGTCATTTGGACCTAGACTTGGCACTCCGGTACCGCTTGCCGTGCGGTAGCAGAGAGAACAGTCTATGACTAGGGTGGCTGGAGTCTTTGACAATTTTGAGGGCCTTCTTCTGACACCGCCTTGTATAGAGGTCCTGGATGGCAGGAAGCTTGGCCCCAGTGATGTACATGGCCGTACGCACTACCCTCTGTAGTGCCTTGCGGTCGGAGGCCGAGCAGTTGCCATACCAGGCGGTGATGCAACCAGTCAGGATGCTCTCGTAGGTGCAGCTGTAGAACCTTTTGAGGATCTGAGGACCCATGCCAAATCTTTTCAGTCTCCTGAGGGGGAATAGGTTTTGTCATGCCCTCTTCACGACTGTCTTGGTGTGTTTGGACCATGATAGTTCGTTGGTGATGTGGACACCAAGGAACTTGAAGCTCTCAACCTGTTCCACTACAGCCCTGTCGATGAGAATGGGGGCGTGCTCAGTCCTCTTTTATTTCCTGTAGTCCACAATCATCTCCTTTGTCTTGGTCACGTTGAGGGAGAGGTTGTTATCCTGGCACCACACGGCCAGGTCTCTGACCTCCTCCCTATAGGCTGTCTCATCGTTGTCGGTGGTCAGGCCTACCACTGTTGTCGTCGGCAAACTTAATGATGGTGTTGGAGTCGTGCCTGGCCATGCAGTCATGGGTGAACAGGGAGTATAGGAGGGGACTGAGCACGCACCCCTGAGGGGCCCCCGTGTTGAGGATCAGTGTGGCAGATTTGTTGTTACCTACCCTTACCACCTGGGGGCGGCCCGTCAGGAAGTCCAGGATCCAGTTGCAGAGGAAGGTGTTTACTCCCAGGATCCTTAGCTTAGTAATGAGCTTTGAGGGCACTATGGTGTTGAACGCTGAACTGTAGTCAATGAATAGCATTCTCACGTAGGTGTTCCTCTTGTCCAGGTGGGAAAGGGCAGTGTGGAGTGCAATAGAGATTGCATCATCTGTGGATCTGTTGGGGCGGTATGCAAATTGGAGTGGGTCTAGGGTTTCTGGGATAATGGTGTTGATGTGAGCCATGACCAGCCATTCAAAGCACTTCATGGCTACAGACGTCAGTGCTACGGGTAGTCATTTAGGCAGGTTATCTTAGTGTCCTTGGGCACGGGGACTATGGTGGTCTGCTTGAAACATGTTGGTATTACAGACTCAGTCAGGGACATGTTGAAAATGTCAGTGAAGACACTTGCCAGTTGGTCAGCACATGCTCGGAGTACACGTCCGAGTGACGCACCGAGTCACTGGTGCTTCCTGCTTTAGTTTTTGCTTATAAGCAGGAATCAGGAGGATAGAGTTATGGTCAGATCTGCCAAATGGAGGGCAAGGGAGAGCTTTGTATGCCCCCTTACACTCAATAACTGGTTGTTGATCAGTCTCACGTTGCTGTAGAGGAATTTTGGCCCACTCTTCCATGCAGAACTGCTTTAACTCAGCTACATTTGTGTGTTTTCAAGCATGAACTGCTTGTTTCAAGTCCTGCCACAACATCTCAATTGGGATTAGGTCTGGACTTTAAAAAAACACATTTGAAGTTTTGGAATGGCCTAATCAGCCATTTTCATGTCGATTCGATTGTGTGTTTTGGATCATTGTCTTGCTGCATGACCCAGCTGCGCTTCAGCTTCAGCTCACAGACGGATGGCCTGACATTCTCCTGCAGAATTCTCTGATACAGAGAATAATTCATGGTCCCTTCTATTAAGGCAATTCATCCAGGTCCTGATGCAGCAAAGCATCCCCAAACCATCACACTACCACAACCATGCTTGACCGTTGGTATAAGGTTCTTACTGTGGAATGCAGTGTTTGGTTTTCGCCAGGCATAGTGGGACCCATGTCGTCCAACTACAGGAAGCATTTGGTTGCAGTCATTGCAACTAAAGGTGGCACAACAAGTTATTGAGTATAAGGGGGCAATACTTTTTCACGCAGGGGAATTGGGTGTTGCATAACTTTGTTAATTAAATAATTAAAATAAGTATCAATTTTTCCTGTTATTTGTAAACTCAGGTTTCCTTTATCTAATATTAGGTTTTGGTTGAAGATCTGATAACATTCAGTATCAGAAATATGCTAAAATAGAGAAAATCAGAAAGGGGGCAAATACTTTTTTACGGCACTGTATATGCACATTTGTTCAGTGGAACAGATTTAGGTGTGGATACATAGACTTTCCAGTCCTTGCTATTAGAGGGACAGACAGTCTTTCCTGTCTGGAGGGATATCTACTAGTTGAACAGGCCTGTCAGAGTGGGCTCATGCCTGTCACCACTGGAGCCAGGCTGGCAGTGGGAGAAGCAGCGAGGCACAGAGTGGGTCTCTGAGGTTGTTCACTCAGGAGCTCACGGTTGAAGGAACTCGCTGCTTAGACGATTGGCGCGGTCATTATTTGATCTTCAAAGAGAAATATCAGATTCAGTTTGTCAGTGTGAAAGTACCATGGTTCAGCAACTGCCAACTGGATTCAGTTACTTTGGTGGAACAAAAGAAGTAAGACGTCTCACAAAAGCATAGCCTCTATGCAACTAGAGCAAATCTGTACCTGTTTTCTCAATATCTTCTGCTAAAATTAAATCAAGGAAGCAACAGTGTCACAACTGTTGTCCCTACATTTTAAATATATGTAGTGTTGTGTCTGTAGGCGGAATGGAGTGGACAGACTCAGAATGGATTGGATGCCTGATTGGTTTCTCTGTTGTCTCAGTAGCATGCAATTTCCTAAACCAAACCAGCCACACTCGTCTCAGCAGTACTCCTACTGTAATTAGTGCCTTGTATGCAGCTGTTTGGGTTTGATAGGACGCTGTGGTCTCAGACACTTCAGGATGGCCAAGGTGAGGCCACTGTTCCCTTTTTCATTATGCTAACAAAGAGAGACACATTTAGACTGGAGACAGCAGAGCCCAAAGACGCTGCACACAGTTATTTATTTTGTAGCTAGTTTTATCCGGCCTGTCTGGTCCCCAGTCCCCAGTGGGGCAAGTGCTTTGTTTTCGACCACAGTGCTGGTTGTCTGAACTGATCTGCCTCCATCCCTCCATGGTCCTCTGTGGTTCAATTCTGTCAGGAAGAAATTAACCAAAGGTAGCAGATTATAATCTGCTGAGCCTTTAAAGACAAAGCTCATATTTGTGTTTTGTAAGCTAGAATGTCAGGAATGTCCTAATACACACATTTTGAGGGACATAAATATTTGCATTCACTTATGACAATATTTATGATAAAGCAGCAAGGCACCATGTGATAACTGTCTCTGCAGAATACAATGGAACTGCGCAATGATTGATAACATCTAAGTGAATCATCATGCTTTCATGGCTTGAATGCAACAACATGTTATAAAGCGACAGGACCATGTACCATTTGGTCACCAGCAAAATTATATTTAGAGAAAGTAGTTGTGAGTCATAGTAATTGTACATAAATAGCACCAGGCCCGGTCCTGGCCGTTGTGCCGCCCACCTATCCCCGTAAAAGTAAAATAGTGTAGCCTATAGTGCCGGACTATTTGATCGGATATCGTGCATGATTTTCTATTTAAAGTGTCTGTCTCATAACATTGTTATAAATATGGTCTCCAGTCTGTAGGCTACAGAAAAACCAAATATGCTACTAGTCTTTCTACTATAGGCTACATGATTTATGTTAGATGACTTGAGTGTTGTTGGAGTGCCGCAGCACTGTCGCTCTCCAACAGCACCCTGGAGAGGCACGATGGGCATGGACAAGAAACATATTTTGCACCCCTGACTTTGGCAAAGTGGGCACTGCTTATCATGGGGCGGCATCAGCGGTCACCTAAATAGCCCATATGATATACTGTATATACGTTTTAATTGTTTTGGGGCAGAATTATGTGAGATGCTGTTGGAGTTGCGTCTTGGTCAGTTTAGCTTCCTAATGGTAGGGCCTGCCCTGAATAGCGCAGCGCTAGGAGCACACTCTTTTACAGTGTTTGATTAACCAGTTGCCAAGCAACCATCTTCTTGACCTATCATTAGGTAAATGAGTCCACCTCATTTGTTTTTACAATTAATAAAGCACAGAGAGCAAAAGTTTGATTATTTGAATTCCATGTATGATAGACTTTCTTCTCATTCAAATATAAAAATATGTTCTATTTGTAACCAGAGCACAGGTAAAGTCTCTATGTACTGTGATCACTGACATTTGATACCTCAGAGATTCTTTGCCTCAGAAAAAGGACAACATGGATTTGCTGTAGTTTATTCGTCATTGCAAAGGCTACTGTGGTGTGTTTTCTGTCTATGGCTGTCAAAAAGACTTACTTCTTGTAAGGCCAGCTAAAGCTACCCACACTAAAACCACCTGGATGGAAGCACAACTCCCAGTGTCACACAGCATGATCAGCATTTGTAAAGTTCCCCCTCTGAGGCCAGTCAGTGACAGTATGTGAGCGGAGCTGGAGCGGAGAGAGGAGCGGAGCGTGCCCAATTTGACTGAAGCGTGGAGCGAGATTCCCAAAGGCTGGCGCGTCGGCCTTCTTGCCCGCTCCAATTTCGCTCCAGTAGCGCTCACTTCACGAGCTCAGGGCATGCCTGGCCCAGCATGCATTTGTAGTCTACTTATGTGCTGCGATAGCACCTTGCTTTAGCTATGGTCATGTAGTTCGCAAAATATTTTCATAAAGAAATGGATAAAACACACACGTGCAAAATCAAGGTGACTTACAAAGATGAGGACCAAGAGCTAGAGAGGGAGTGCGGTGATGTAGTGTCCACAACTAAAGAATCATTGTGGAATCTGAAAATACACATATCCCGAAAGCACGATGGTGTACTTACTACGTGCACATGCTAAAAGAAAGGAACGAGGTGGGTAGCTAATGAAGTGTGTCATTGTAGAAAAGTATTTATAAACTCAAAATCAGATCTCTTAAAAGTTTCCTTCATTTATGTTATATTATCTATACAATAGGCCATAATTGATGTTGGTCCAATAGGCCTGGCATATTCCAACTTTCAAGGAGCTTTCCGTTTTGATTGGGGTATTTCGCCCCCCCCCCCCCCCCCTTTTTTTTTTTTTACAACTCTGCATCCAAAAAGGGTGTTTAGCATCCCCAGTGGCTATGCAAGCATGGAGAGGATATTCTCAGCTGCTGGCCTGCTCTCCAGGCACCATCGCATGAGCCTGACGCCACAGACTCTGGCCAAACTTGTGTTTCTAAAAATGTATTCAAAGGCACTGTAGACTCAGCCTAATAAGGTAGTTTTCATTGAATTTGTATTTAATTCGAAAGTAAGTCACAGCCTATATGCACAATTTATAGACTATAATGATTTAATACAACAAAATGTTGTTTAAATGCTGAGCGCTTAATGTCCCTGACTCCCTACCAGCCTAGTGTGTCGCACATGCAAATGCTTCACAATGTATTTCTTTGTAGACTATAGCCTTGAAATAATATAGCCTAAATGATTTTTGTTCCTTCTTAGGCTCACTGTCTGGCTCCTGACCTATTTATAGTGTTTTTATTCTGTTTAATATGACATGTAGCCTATTTGAAATTATGAGCACTTCTTACAATCACCTTTTCATGTTTATTAAAATACTTTTCATTCAAATTATATGGTTTGGTTTCAATACTTCAAAACCAAGTGGTAGGTCCAGGTAGTCACAAAAATAGATGTTGGGTGTGGTTAAATTGTGATTTTAAGGAATGGAGTGTTTTTTTAGCGGAGCGCCGCTCCATGAGCGATGAGCAGGATTTCCGACCAGTCAACTCCGCTCACATACTCTGGTCAGTGACTATTCGGTTCATACAACATCCCTGTCACACCATGCTAGTCAGAGTTGGAACTTCCTGTCTCTGATTTGTGGCCTGGTACATGATGGGTATTCCTGTGTGCTGCTGTGACTGTGTGAAACCAGAGTACACCTGCAGCTGACAGGCTGTTTCACCTGTGAGAGGCCATATTAATGGCAAGACTCAGTCTTGAATTATTGATGCAATTTGTCATCGTTACGAACCAGAAAAGAAAATCTGTCTTAGTCAAGAGTTTCTATTAAATAATTCATTTTTGTGAGAAAAATAAAAATAATATCATTAGGAAACCCAGTAATGTCTGACAAGGACGTGTGTTAGTTATTGGCTAGCTCTCAGTCTGTTCCCAGTGCAGTAATTAGTTGATTGTTTTGGGCTGTGCAGCAACAGCGTCTCCCTGTTCAGCGTGGCTTTGATCACTGAAGTGTCAACTGGAAACGTCTCAGTCTCTGCTCTGCCTGAGAGCTATAGAAACCCATGATCACAGGAGACACTTTCCTATTCAATCAGTATGCAGTTGTCGTGGGTACGTGCTGGGTTATGTAAGACCAGAGCAGAGGTTGGGACTGGGAGTGCCTACCTCCCTCTGCCATGCAGCAGTGCAGTGCGGTGGCGTCCGGGCTCCAGTGGAAGTGACTCACCATGGAATGCAGATGCTGGGGTGTGAGAGCCCTGGCACTCCGGCCACTTCTCTGACAAGGCTAGCAGGCCTCAGGACATAGTTCTAGAATATAACCTAGTCTCTGCCACTGGTTGAATTCACACTTGTTACTCTTCTGTTAGGTTGAAAACTGAGTAGCTGATCAAGATGACTCTCGTGTCCACAGGCCTTTCCTTTCCAAAAGCTATTTTCATTTCATTCTGTGACTTTTGAAAATGATTTAAAATATGGTACGTCTACTGTGTTCACCACTAATTGGTCTAAGAAGTAAAAGCTCTGTTTACTAAAAGCATCAGTGACTCAGTGCTTACAATAAAAGGAATTGTAGTCAGATGAATAGCGGAAAATAAGAGACTGTTTGTTAAGAGGTGCAAGTGTGATTTGAGCCTGTATGCTGTCACGGTATTGAACAAAGAGCCGGTGGCTTTCTTGGCTGTCCTTGGATTGACCTCCCTCACAGGAGCTCAGACATGGCCTCTCTTTGACATTCCACAGAGGATGCATCTAAACCCATAATTGTGTTACTGACTGACGTTCTGTTCTCTTTGTTTTCTTCACAGGTGGAGATTTACATTTTACCTCTATATATTTACCTACGGAGTGCGTTTCCTTAAAAAGGTGAGTGGGTTACTTTCCAAAATCATTTCATTGATGAATACCAAACTGAAAACCTCTTTATTCAGCACTTTCCGTATTGAGGACACATTCTTCAAAGAGGAGCTATAACAGAACCTTGCACTCGAGGATGTGTGGAGGAGGTTAGATTTGATGCATCTTGCGGTGCAAGGAGTACCAACTGAAAAAGAATGCACCTCTCAAACACTCCAACCAGTGATCACTGATAAATAATGGATAGATTTGCTCTCTGCACGGTATCCATAATGCAGATATTAGTGTCTGTGAGCACATGCACAGTTGAGAAACTAGTTCCCTGTCAACTACCACCTTCAGTCTAATGCTGTTGTTACTCTATGATGATATATAGAGGAAATCACATCCTCCGAGGGTATCTCTTGTCTTTTAATGTGTCTGTCTGACTCTGTGCTATTGTGTAATGTACTGAGGCCAGAATACTTTTGAGTGTCTGTAGTAATTGAATGCTGCTGATGCTGCCATTGATCTAGAATAATGAGTAAGGGTGGTGAATAGGAGACATTGCTGCGAGGAGAATGTCTCATTGCAAGAGCTTGCATGACGAAGCACTTTGTGGAATGAGTTCATTCCCTTCAGCTGGGCCTAGTGAGTCCCTGGGGGGTATTAATAGCACAGGTCTACAGGGGAGAAGATGCAAACTCAATTGGCTTCCCTATAAGTCGCCGTTTTGATTTGATTTGATATAAGTCGCAGTGTGATGCAAAACTCGTCATAACGGCTGTATTTCTGCCTGCTTGAAGGACAATAGCTCAGATATACATGAAAACATGAAATGACCCCGGGAATCGATAGAACGTCGCTCAGAGATGCACAAAAATGATATAACATTCAAAATGGGTGAACCTTTCCTTTAAGTCTTACCAAGGTGAACCTTTAACTGTGTCATAGCCCTCATCATCTCTCCTAAGCTCTAAGTTGATACAGTATGGGTGATGATTGAGTAACGACTCTGTAATGTAGCTCAGTTGGCTTACTGGTCATATTCTGCATTTTTCCACCAGACAACTATGGAACTATGTTCCTCCCTAATGTAAGAGTGTGAGTTTGCACATCAACTAAAGCAGAGTTAGCATTTTTAAGTAGGTTACATTTGTTTTGGTCCAGAATCATCTCTCGTTGAAGGCAAACATACCCTGTGAGAGATAATGGCAATAAGCAGCTCATTACCCTGCCTTTGTAGTCTAGGTCCCTCTTGTGGCAAGACATAAGACAGTCAAAACCACATCCCCCAGTTCACTAGAGCATTCATCATGTAGCCTGGGACCAGAATTAACATTCTCAGTCATCCCCAGGCTAGTGCGTTCATGATTACTTTGCACTACTAGCGCACAGCAAAAGCTTGCTTTGATTCAATTAAGTTTCCCTTGATGAAAATACAATCTGACATGGATACATTCCCAAGGTTATTGATGTGCTGTATTTTAATCAAACATTTAGTGTTGAGCCAGAGGCAACATAGCATTCAGGTGTGGGGATCAATAGCACTTTATGAATGTAAATACACTTTTAATTTGGGAACAGCATAACAGTACATTAATATTCTGTTCATGTATTGCCTCTGCAGACCCCATGGCTATGGAACACAAGAGAGTGCTGGTATAACTACCCTTATCAGGTAATGTTTTCATCATGAAAAAATTACCAATGTTTTCTCTGTTTCATTTTTGCTAAGCAACTTCTTTACACCTATAACAGTTATTGTATTTGAAAGGTCTGTAATACCTACAGTACGTTTGATCTAACTTTGTTGACCTACGTGTGTATTTTCACAGCCACTGACGGTGGACATCCACTATTACTATATACTGGAGCTGTCTTTCTACCTGTCCCTTCTGTTCTCCCAGTTCACAGATATCAGGAGGAAGGTAGGATACCAATTAAGTCAATAGTTTGTTTATCACATTGCTTCCTCCATAGATATTTGTTTGCATATGATGTAACACCCATTTCCTTTTAACCAAGGTAATTATGTTAATAATAATACAAAATAAAACTAATAATAGTCATCTTTAACAATAAAGCCAATATTAAGTCAGGGAAAAGGCTTCACAACGGTTTTAGAACATTCAGAAACCAAATGTGTTCTGAGTTTTTTCTCCTTTATAATCCTTTGTATTGTTCAGCTCCAGCTTTGATTTACACAGTAGTAATCTCAGAGGGAAGCCCTAATTAATGTTGTCTGCACTTGCATTCAGGCCTCCTCCGATTGTCTGTTCCATGACTTAGTTTTATTTAATCCCTGGGAGCGGTGCCTTTGCCCTGATGTGGTCTAGTCTCTCTGCTCTGTGAAATCACAGGCCTCTGAGAGGAGGAGATGGAATAGTGTTTGCTCATAACTTTTATGAGTAGGATTTTCTGGCAGCCATTCTAAACTGTTTTCCCCTCACATTTGTTTTGGAGTGAGTCCTATTTCAGTATTCAGTTCCTAGAGTCTGCCGATTTATTACATTTCTCCATTATTTTTTGATTTCAGCGTAATGTTTTTTGTTGTACCCGCTGATCAAAACCGTCATTAAGAATTAAAAAGATTAATTGAAATATTTAATATTGAATACGAATGGTTTCAAGTTGTTGTTAATATCAGTGTGTGTTTTAGCCCTGGTTTATCTGAGGTGATTTTGTTAGTAGCTCATGGTGATTATATCAACTTCGTAACCTAGCCTCCCTCTCCACTTCATCCTGAACGATGTTTAAACACTAATTGAGGGTCAAATAAACAGCTGGGATGACATCAGGCCCAGTTTTCTCACTCACGCTTAATCGCCAGACTAAAGATAAATAATCCATGGAACAGCCACCATGGAAAAGAGTGCTGCAGAATTCCTGATGTGCACACAATTCCTGTGTCTGTTCACACATTTAAGACACTCACGTACACTGAGAATACCAAACATTAGGAACACCTTCCTAATATCAATTTTGCCCTCAGAACAGCCTAATTCATCGGGACTTGGGCTCTACAAGGTGTTGAAAGCGTTCCACAGGGATGCTGGCCCATGTTGACTCCAATGCTTCCCACAGTTGTGTCAAGTTGGCTGGATGTCCTTTGGGTGGTGGACCATTCTTGATACGCATGGGAAACTGATGAACGTGGAAAAACCCAGCAAAGTTGCAGTACTTGACACGAACCGGTGCGCCTGGCACCTACTACCATACCCCGTTCAAATGCACTTAAATATTTTGTCTTGCCAAGTCACCCTCTGAATGGCACACATACACAATCCATGTCTCAATTGTCTCAAGCCTTCATCTACACTGATTGAAGTGGATTTAACAAGTGACATCAATAAGGGATCATGGCTTTCACATGGATTCACATGGTCAGTCTATGTCATGGAAAGAGTTGTTCCTAATGTTTTGTATACTCAGTGTACACTCTTTCTAACACATCGCGTACACAAGCTATAAGACTTATTTTACAGGTCAGGGCTCCTCCATGTTTGAGCTGTCAGTATTGCCTCTGCTTACATTTTTTTCTTCAATGAGCTATGTTATCTTCTTTAGCACTGTTGAGGGGTGTCAAGAACAAAGGGTACAATATAGGGGGGGGGGGGGGGGGGGGTGTAATTATAAATACAGCATGGGTATAAGCTTTACGATTTGAATCATCAATCAATCTTTTCAGTATTTTTCCAATTCAAATCTGCATCAACAGCCATTCGTTTACATTAACATGTGTTATTGTTTATGGAGTTGCCACCTTGGCCGTGGTCTTTTCCATAGTTCTTGTGGTTCACAGAATGTCAATTTGCATGCCTCTCACCACAGGCATATGCCTACCTCTCTTCCTCCTCTCTCTGCCCCACCCTGTCCACTCCACAGCACACCTAACTCACTCACTCACTCACTCACTCAATCACTCACTCACAGCTGTCCCATGATGCCATGGTATTTATGCCCTCACCTCTCATCTCTGTGTTGACTGTTGGCATGTTGTCTGTTTTTGTTTCTCCTTTCAGTTTTTTCATGCACAAAACCACGCATTGAGGAGGTCCTCTGCACCCCCTGCCAATTCCAGTATGTTCCCTGCACTCTATTTTGCCATGCTTCCATTCTGCATTTCACACCACTGCTCTTCCTCCTCCTCCTCCTCATCCTCCTCCTGCTCTGGGCCGGTTGCTCTGCTGCTGTCCTGCTGTACTGATCCTCATCAACCTCGTGGTGCACAGGAAGGCTCTCCCATGTCATCCACATCCAGCCACAGCCTCACTCATCAGGACATCGCAACCAGGCTAGCTTTAACTAGACTAGACTGATTTAATACAGACTAATCTAGACTGACTAGAGGCAACCTTAGTTGTAGTACATGTAGACCCCATCTCTTTTTGTACATTTTTTCCAGATGTGATTCTCCTACTCAGTCATGTGTGAAATAAATTACTGTCAGTCTACTGAAGTACAGTTCTGTGAAAAAGTATTTGCCCCCTTTCTAATTTTCTCTACTTTTGCATACTTCTGATACTGAATGTTATCAGATCTTCAACCAAAACCTAATATTAGATAAAGGGAACCTGATTGAACAAATAACACAACAAATACATACTTATTTCATTTATTTCATAAACAAAGTTATGCAACATCCAATGCCCCTGTGTAAAAAAGTAATTGCCTGGTTTTCGCCAGAAATAATGGGACCAATGTCATCCAACAAGTTATACTTTTTGTTTCATCTGTCCATAGAACATTCTTCCAAGAGTCTTGATGATCATCCAGGTGCTACCAGGTGCTTTTTGACAAAGTTGAGTCAACTTTTTGGACGAGATGGGTCCCATTATGTCTGGCGAAAACCAAACACTGCATTCCACAGTAAGAACCTTATACCAACGGTCAAGCATGGTGGTGGTAGGTTGATGGTTTGGGGATGCTTTGCTGGACCTGGACGACTTGCCTTAATAGAAAGAACCATGAATTCTGCTCTGTATCAGAGAATTCTACAGGAGAATGTCAGGCCATCCATCTGTGAACTAAAGCTGAAGCGCAGCTGGGTCATGCAGCAAGACAATGATCCAAAACACACAATCAAGTCTATATGAAAATGGTTAAAAAGCAACAAATTTGAAGTTTTGGAATGGCCTAGTCAAAGTCCAGACCTAATCCCAATTGAGATGTTGTGGCAGGACTTGAAACAAGCAGTTCATAGTTGAAAACCCACAAATGTCGCTGAGTTAAAGCAGTTCTGCATGCAAGAGTAGGCCAACATTCCTCCACAGTGAAGTGAGAGACTGATCAACAACTACAGGAAGCATTTGGTTGTAGTCATTGCAGCTTAAGGTGGCACAACCAGTTATTGAGTGTAAGGGGGCAATTACTTTTTCACACAGGGGAATTGGGTGTTGCATAACTTTGTTAATTAAATAAATAAAATAAGTATATATTTTTTGTGTTATTTGTAAACTCAGGTTCCCTTGACCTAATATTATGTTTTGGTTGAAAATCTGAAAGGGGGCAAATACCTTTTCACGGTACTGTAGATGAGAAACGAAGGTGAGTCCCGCATTCAGAGAAACAACAGAATTGTTGACACAAATCAAAAGCAGATGGGAGGGAAGTTGAATTGCACAGCATATACAGTATGGCCGTTTACTGAGTGTAGTGTTTACAAAGAGTCAATGTCCTTGTCAGCATGTCACCATCGATGTTCTGATTAGTGTGCAGCCAGCAAGTGTACAAGGGGCTGAGGAGTCCACTTATCCAGTGTGAGCACAAAGAATACAGCAGCAGTCATACTCTCTGCATGACGCAGAGGTTTTCATAAAACCCATATGCTGTACAAGTCCCCTTGCTATGAGTCACATGATAGAGAGCTGTGAATGCTTTCTCCCTCTGCCATTGTGTGACATGACTATGACGCCTGTGTCCCCCAGGACTTCCTGATCATGTTCCTGCACCACCTTGCGACAATCACCCTCATCACCTTCTCCTACGTCAACAACATGGCTAGAGTGGGCACACTGGTCATGTGTCTTCACGACGCCGCCGACGTCCTGATGGAGGTGAGTAGAGACATGGGACTCGTTCAGCGAGGCACAACGTTGTGGAACTTTCAGATGGAAATATGTTTTGAAGAACAAACATGTCATTTATATTCACAACTTTTCTATCTGCTGCGTTCCACAACGTTTGCCTACTGAAAGTGGCCCTGATGTGTGTTCTTCACACCCCATGGACATGGCTCCTGTGGTTCTTTTGTGGTTGTTTTAGAATCACACGCAAGCCATCACACAGTGAGGTCAATGAGCACAGTAGCTATCGGGGGAAATCGGCCATCTGTAGATTTCAACTATGTACTGCTAAAAAAACTATTTCAGTGTATAAAAAAGATACGGTGGATGCAACATCCATGTTTGTTTTTTGTATTGTGAATTATGCCATTAGTAATAATTTTGCATGTGAACATGCATCTGTGACTTCTGTTGCAGGTTGCCAAAATGGCCAACTATGCCAAGTGCCAGAGACTTTGCAACCTCCTGTTTGTCATGTTTGCAATGGTCTTCATCAGTTCCAGGTTGGGTGTCTATCCTGTCTGGTAAAGATGCTTTGTCTCTACATCGAATGAATGCATCCCAAATGGCACCCTATTCCCTATGGGCACTGGTCAAAAGTAGTGCACTATGTAGGGAATAGGGTGTCGTTTGGGACACAGACAATGTCTTCATTGTGAAAATCTACAGCTCAATTGAAACGATGGGCTCGAGTGTCTTGTGTGCGGTCAGTTAACACATCACTTTATCTGAGAATGTTTGTCTCTATGCATCTTATCTGTCTCTGTCTACAGGAGGCATGAATGCACTGTAGATCTCAGAATATTGACACTTTCCAAATGGGCTTTGCAATTTTGCCATGAAGGTTTTCATTTTATACAGGTCTTGGTGTGTTTTGTTGCTTAGTAATAGTTACTATGGATACTACAGCCACAATATAGACATATCTTCTCCAGTAAAGAGAGAGGGGGGATAAGATGAGAGATTGACCATTATTTTTAGATCAATTATTTGACATACATTCTAGACTGGAATCTAAAATTACACATTAAATGTACACATTGAAAACATCAATTAACTACCTCTTTATGTTATTATGGTCTGTGTCATTTCCTATCAATACCAGATAGTTTAGTTTTTTCATATTGGACTTCCAATTAGATAATGAATTTGTATTGTACTGGGATGTTTTTGATGTGTCATCAGTGCCAGGGCATCCTACCTTGAGAGAGAAGCAGTAGAAAACCAGTCATAGTCCTGAATACATGAGCACCATCTTACTGTGTGATGTCCTTGTCACACTCAGCAGTACCGTCAATGTAAGAAGGGAAAAGGGACATGATTTACTATCCTGCTCTGAGACGACACCCCAACTTTATCAACCTAAAATATATTTCCTTTGAGGCCACACTCGAGGATAGAGCTGTTGATAACCAGGTCAAAATGACAAATTACTCTCTATTCTGGAGATATTAAATCATAACCATCTACAGTGCAGTGCTCTGTCTCTGTAGAAAGGTTGCTTTTGAATAGTGCCTGTAAATCATTTAGAAATGTCTTATTCAAAGATTTCCTCTCGTCATGTGGGTTGTACAGTATATCACAGTGCAGGCAGAGTGCACCACAACAGCCACAAAGGTGGCATTACTGCATAGCTGTTGCCATGGCTTCAGTATCAGCAGGATTCATACCATGTACAGTTATTGGTCCAGCAATATCTCTACCTTCACTGAAATAGCTCAATCATATCAAGCTATACTTTGCTATCACTAATTGAATAATCCTCTCTGTCTGTCTGTCTCTCTCTCTTGTAGGATTTTAAACACTACCTTGTTTGAGAGCTGGGAGATCGTGGGGCCGTACCCATCCTGGTGGGTGTTCAATCTGCTGCTGATCCTGCTGCAGTTCCTGCACTCCTTCTGGTCCTACCTCATAGTGAAGATAGCCTGTCGAGCCATATCCAGAGGAAAGGTGAGAGACAAGTCAGAGGTCCCTCCTCTCTGACCTTCTCCTCCAATGGCTTTTGAGAAGGAGGCGAGAAGAGAGGATGTGAGGAGTCAAGGAAATGCAATTGAGATTCTCCCCCAGTTCACATTGACAGGGTCCCAAATGGCACCCTAGTCCCTATGTAGTGCACTACCATTGACCAGGGCCCATAGGGAATAGGGTGTAATTTGGGAAGCAGTCTCTGTCATATTGTTATACAGTAATGCTTTGCGAGAGGACCAACTTTATGTAGTTAAAGTCATTCTCATTATGTATGTAATTTAGAATTTAGTACTACCATGTTACTTTTTGTAATTGTGGATGCAAAGCATTGGGAAAATCTTCGCACTCAAGCTCACCATACATGTACTGTACTACAGGAGCTTTTCACTAAACTGTTTTGTTGTCAATAGCCTTCATTGATTTGACTTTTCTATCCCTTATGCTAACCTTTCAACCAAGGTGGGGAAGTGGAATCCTTTACATGTAAGTAGTAGAATATAAAGAGGATAAACTTATTTGTGTATTATTGTCACATGCTATCTCACTAACAAATCACAATTACAGATTGTTCTGAAACGCAAGCCGTCCCTTTAGTTTTTATTGACGTTTTCCTCTTATTTGTAAAATAAGGAAACCAATAGCAATGGCCAATCGCTTGTACTTCCTCTGTCATGACATCAGATTGTATATGAGCTGTTCTAACAGCACCTGCAACTCTCCACAGGTGTCGAAAGACAACCGCAGTGACATTGAGTCCAGCTCTGACGAGGACAACAGTCCTCCGCCCGCTCCTGTTCAGAAGCACCACAACAGCACCACCAACGGGACCAATAAAGCCCATGGGACCAACGGGTACCTGTCAGCAGGGGCCCCGTGTCCAGACGAACACTGACTGCCACTATGAGACATTACAAGCACTGGAGCAAAGCTGCAGACACCATTCATAGATACTACATGTGTGCCTGTGCGATATGAACAACATTGCCTGTCTGGTACTGGAAGTTCTTAATAGAAATCTGTGAATGCAGTTCCGTTTTCTGTTTGATTATTTCCATGTTTCCCGTTTCATTTTATTCTCTTTCTCTATATTTGCATCAAACTGCACTCAATGAAATATCAAAGCACTCCTGTTGGTACAGCCCACTCTCTGTTTAGCCAATGAATGAAAGCATTCCACTATTATTGAAAGCATGCTGTTTAAAAATAGTCTTGACAGGCGTACTGGGGGTGGTTAATTATGTTAGTGTTTTTATGTTATTTATTTTTTATAGATTTATGTTTTCAAATTATTGTCAACATGTCTCAATTACTTTATTGTCAGTGTTAAGATTGGCTAATTATGAACCAATCCATAGTGCTCATCAGTTCACTATTCCATCAACAGGTAGACACATTACAGTATGAGTCATGTCATTGGCAAAATGCTAAACACCTGGATTTGCTTTCAATGCTGCACCCCCCTACACATGTCAAAACTGTGACTGAATTTGTTTGGCTCACAAAGTAATAGTAATGTGGTCCCACAACAATGCAATATGGGAAATAAAAACAAACATTCTCCATCCATAAGCTGTAAATGAGATATCAGTAAAATATTATGTGTGTGTGCAAAAATATGGGCCATGCTATATTTTAAATTAAAGCATTTTGTTATAAGTATTCTACAACATTTCTGGTAAGTATTTTTACTAAATGTTCATGGCCCTCTTGGAAGACAGATTAAGGTATTAAGCGATGATTCAATTATAACCCATGACGATATTAAAGATTGCAAGTCAGAAAGTATGTTTGTCGATCTGATTAATTTCAATTAGCAGGTAGTGTACATACTTGTTCTTGTGACAAGCAACTAAGTAATATTTGTAGATTACAGAATTGGAATTTAATGGAATGTCGTAAATTGACTAATGAATGTAAATTATTTGTATCTCTTAAAACTTTGATAACCACTCAACGTCAAGTGAATAATGAACGTGATTGCATTTCATAAATGAATCATGACCATGAATCCTTGCGATTGATATTCATTCAAGAATGCTTTCGGTACAATGCCATTGTTTTAAAAATAAATGTCATTCATCTTGCTAATCCAGTCTCATACATTATCATTTAAATATGAAAAATGTAAATATAACTAGATGTAGTGTATATTGAATTTAAAGTAGCATTTGTTTTTCAGAGAAAAACAATAGCTCTTCAGGTGCCCATGTAATTTCTCTATGAACTTGTAGTGACTAATATGAATCATCCAAGGACACATGGATAGACTAGGAAGTGTATTGTGTAGGTCTCTAATGCAGTATCATCTTAATGCTGAGCATTGTGGCAATGTATTTACCACCGTCTCTCCTTCCCCATTGTTGATGTGAAGAGATGATATAATACTTTATTGGCAGTATTATAAACGCCTGGGTTTACTCTGCCCGCAAGAAAGGGAACGTTTTGAAGAGGTAAGGGACTGTACGTTATTTACACTTAACAGAAATATAAACTCAACATGTAAAGTGTTGGTCACGTGTTTCATGAGCTGGAATAAAAGATCCCAGAAATGTAACATACGCACAAAAAGCTTATTTCTCTCAAATTTTGGGCACACGTGTTTACATCCCTGTTAGTCAGCATTTCTCCTTTGCCAAGATAATCCATGCACCTGACAGGTGTGGCATATCATTAATCAGATTAAACAGCATGATCATGAAACAGATGCACCTTGTGCTAGGTACAATGAAAGGACACTCTAAAATGTGCAGTTTTGTCACACAACACAATGCCACAGATGTGTCAAGTTTTGAGGGAGCATGAAATTGGTATGCTGACTGCAGGAATGTCCACCAGGGCTGTTGCCAGAGAATTGAATGTTCATTTCTCTACCATAAATCACCTCCAACGTCGTTTTAGAGAATTTATCAGTACGTTCAACCAACCTCACAACCGCAGACCACGTGTAAGGCGTCATGTGGGCGAGCAGTTTGGTGATGTTAACGTTGTGAACATAGTGCCCCATGGTGGCGGTGGGGTCATGGTACGGGCCAGGTATAATCTCTGTACAACAAACACAGTTGCATTTTATCGATGGCCATTTGAATGCACAAAAATACCGTGACGAGGTCCTGGGCCCATTGTGAGGCCCATTTGTTAAAGGTATCTATGACCAACAGATGCATATCAGTTCTCCCAGTCATGTGAAATCCATAGATTAGGGCCTAATCAATTTATTTCAATTGACTGATTTCCTCATATGAACTGTAACTCAGTAAAATCAATGAGATAGTTGCATGTTACGTTTATATATTTTTGACCTCTTTGAAATGAAAATGGATGGCCCTCCCTTCAGTAAAATATATATTTTTACCCGACCCTCCCAGAAGGCTTGTACAATTAAACAAGTGACCCTCCCTTGTACCCAAAATAATAATTAAAACATAAAGTGGATAGCAGAGAACATGCCTACCATTTATCCTCACTCCTAGGACAGACCAGAGACTTAGATATGCAGTTTCAGAAACGGTTCTTCGTTTTGTAAGCAATATGCGGTGGTCCCATGTAGCTAAATTGGTAGAGCATGGTGCTTGCAATGCAAGTGTTGTGGGTTTGATTCCCAAGGGGCACCAGTATGACAATGTATGCACTCACTACTGTAAGTCGCTGTGGATAAGAGCGTCTGCTAAATGACGTAAAATCTAAAGATTGTGGATTCGCACACCACCCTGAACAAGGGTAGGGGTGAAAGGGTATCCATTATAATAAAAAGCACTGCATGAATCTATCATCTTATTTCCGGTCCGAGAAAAGATTGCCTTTTATAAACGCATTTCATGCAATTCTGCATCATTTTACATGACTGGAGACAGGCAGAATCTGTTTTAATACCACAACAGAGAATGACAACGAATGAGTGCATGCTGCAGCACCAGAGAGCGCTAGAGACGTTTTGATTTCTATACAGGCTATTGTTAAAAAAGAGGATAGGCTAAGTTTGTAACATTGCTGAAGTTGTCTATCAACTGTCAGAAATGTGTGAAACAGAACCAGTTACAACTGAAGTATCTGATCATCAATTAATTTAAGAAGAAGCCATTTGTTGTTTAACACAGCAGCCGCATATCATCAGGTAGGCCTACAGTATATGCACTTGCAACTTTTTTCATTTAGGAAACTATCATTTTCTATTTTATTATATTTTTATTCCATGATATTGTTGTTACGAAATAGATTTGTGTTGACTGTGATTAGGGCATGGGAATATAAGAGCATCAGCTAGACTAAATTAACAAACTACATACAGTGGGGAAGAAAAGTATTTAGTCAGCCACCAATTGTGCAAGTTCTCCCACTTAAAAAGATGAGAGAGGCCTGTAATTTTCATCATAGGTACACGTCAACTATGACAGACAAAATGAGAAAAGAAATCCAGAAAATCACATTGTAGGATTTTTAATGAATTTATTTGCAAATTATGGTGGAAAATAAGTATTTGGTCAATAACAAAAGTTTCTCAATACTTTGTTATATACCCTTTGTTGGCAATGACACAGGTCAAACGTTTTCTGTAAGTCTTCACAAGGTTTTCACACACTGTTGCTGGTATTTTGGCCCATTCCTCCATGCAGATCTCCACTAGAGCAGTGATGTTTTGGGGCTGTCGCTGGGCAACACGGACTTTCAACTCCCTCCAAAGATTTTCTATGGGGTTGAGATCTGGAGACTGGCTAGGCCACTCCAGGACCTTGAAATGCTTCTTACGAAGCCACTCCTTCGTTGCCCGGGCGGTGTGTTTGGGATCATTGTCATGCTGAAAGACCCAGCCACGTTTCATCTTCAATGCCCTTGCTGATGGAAGGAGGTTTTCACTCAAAATCTCACGATACATGGCCCCATTCGTTCTTTCCTTTACACGGATCAGTCGTTCTGGTCCCTTTGCAGAAAAACAGCCCCAAAGCATAATGTTTCCACCCCCATGCTTCACAGTAGGTATGGTGTTCTTTGGATGCAACTCAGCATTCTTTGTCCTTCAAACACGACGAGTTGAGTTTTTACCAAAAAGTTCTATTTTGGTTTCATCTGACCATATGACATTCTCCCAATCCTCTTCTGGATCATCCAAATGCACTCGAGCAAACTTCAGATGGGCCTGGACATGTACTGGCTTAAGCAGGGGGACACGTCTTGCACTGCAGGATTTGAGTCCCTGGCGGCGTAGTGTGTTACTGATGGTAGGCTTTGTTACTTTGGTCCCAGCTCTCTGCAGGTCATTCACTAGTCCCCCCTGTGTGGTTCTGGGATTTTTGCTCACCGTTCTTGTGATCATTTTGACCCCACGGGGTGAGATCTTGCGTGGAGCCCTAGATTGAGGGAGATTATCAGTGGTCTTGTATGTCTTCCATTTACTAATAATTGCTCCCACAGTTGATTTCTTCAAACCAAGCTGCTTACCTATTGCAGATTCAGTCTTCCCAGCCTGGTGCAGGTCTACAATTTTGTTTCTGGTGTCCTTTGACAGCTCTTTGGTCTTGGCCATAGTGGAGTTTGGAGTGTGACTAATTGAGGTTGTGGACAGGTGTCTTTTATACTGATAACAAGTTCAAACAGGTGCCATTAATACAGGTAACGAGTGGAGGACAGAGGAGCCTCTTAAAGAAGTTGTTACAGGTCTGTGAGAGCCAGAAATCTTGCTTGTTTGTAGGTGACCAAATACTTATTTTCCACCATAATTAGCAAATAAATTCATTAAAAATCCTATAATGTGATTTTCTGGAGAAAAAAAATCTCAATTTGTCTGTCATAGTTGACGTGTACCTATGATGAAAATTACAGGCCTCTCTCATCTTTTTAAGTGGGAGAATTTGCACAATTGGTGGCTGACTAAATACTTTTTTTCCCCACTGTAGGTATGCATAGCTCACCGCATGATCCTCAAACCAGAGATGACACCCCAACTTTATCAACCTAAAATATATTTCCTTTGAGACCACACTCAAGGATACAGTGCTTACAAAAGTATTCATCCCCCTTGGCGTTTTTCCTATTTTGTTGCATTGCAACCTGTAATTTAAATGGATTTTTATTTGGATTTCATGTAATGGACATACACAAAATAGTCCAAATTGGTGAAGTGAAATTAAAAAAATAACTTGTTTCAAATAATTCAAATAAATAAATTACGGACAATTGGTGCATGCATATGTATTCACCCCCTTTGCTATGAAGCCTATAAATAAGATCTGGTGCAACCAATTACCTTCAGAAGTCACATAATTAATTAAATAAAGTCCTCCTGTGTTTAATCTAAGTGTCACATGATCTCACTATATATACACCTGTTCTGAAAGGCCCCAGAGTCTGCAACACCACTAAGCAAGGGGCACCACCAAGCAAGCGGCACCATGAAGACCAAGGAGCTCTCCAAACAGGTCAGGGACAAAGTTGTGGAGAAGTACAGATCAGGGTTGGGTTATAAAAAAATATCAGAAACTTTGAACATCCCAAGGAGCACCATTAAATACGTTATACATTTTTAAAAATAATATGGCACCACAACAAACCTGCCAAGAGAGGGCCGTCCACCAAAACTCACGGATCAGGCAAGGAGGGCATTAATCAGAGAGGCAACAGAGACCAACGATAACCCTGAAGGAGCTACAAAGCTCCACAGCGGAGATTGGAGTATTTGTCCATAGGACCACTTTAAGCCGTACACTACCCAGAGCTGGGCTTTACGGAAGAGTGGCCAGAAAAAAGCCATTGCTTAAAGAAAAAAAGAAGCAAACACGTTTGTTGTTTGCCCACAGGCATGTGGGAGACTCCCCAAGCATATGGAAAAAGGTACTCTGGTCAGATGAGACTAAAATTGAGCTTTTTGGCCATCAAGGAAAACGCTATGTCTGGCGCAAACCCAACACCTCTCATCACCCCGAGAACACCATCCCCACAGTGAAGCATGGTGGTGGCAGCATCATGCTGTGGGATGTTTTTCATCGGCAGGGACTGGGAAACTGGTCAGAATTGAAGGAATGATGGATGGCGCTAAATACAGGGAAATTCTTGAGGGAAACCTGTTTCAGTCATCCAGAGATTTGAGACTGGGACAGAGGTTCACCTTCCAGCAGGACAATGATCCTAAGCATACTGCTAAAGCAACACTTGAGTGGTTTAAGGGGAAACATTTAAATGTCTTGGAATGGCCTAGTCAAAGCCCAGACCTCAATCCGATTGCTGTACACCAGCGGAACCCATCTAACTTGAAGGAGCTGGAGCAGTTTTGCCTTGAAGAATGGGCAGAAATCCCAGTGGCTAGATGTGCCAAGCTTATAGAGACATATCCCAAGAGACTTGCAGCTGTAATTGCTGCAAAAGGTGGCTCTACAAAGGGGGGAGGGGGTGAATAGTTATGCATGCTCAAGTTTTCTGTTTTTATGTCTTATTTCTTGTTTGTTTCACAGTGAAAAATATTTTGCATCTTCAAAGTGGTAGGCATGTTTTGTAAATCAAATGATACAAACCCCCCAAAAATCAATTTTAATTCCAGGTTGTAAGGCAACAAAATAGGAAAAATGCCAAGGGGGTTGAATACTTTCGTAAGCCACTGTAGAGGTATTGATAACCCGGTCAAAATGACAAATGACTCTCTATTCTGGAGATATTAAACCATAAACCTCTACAGTGTAGTGCTCTGTTTCTGTAGAAAGGTTGCTTTTGAATAGTGCATGTAAATAATTTAGAAATGTCTTATTCAAAGATTTATTCTTGTTTCCTCTTGTCATGTGGGTTAAACAGTATATCACAGTGCAGGCAGAGTGCACCACAACAGCCACAAAGGTGGCATTACTGCATAGCTGTTGCCATGGCTTCAGTATCAGCAGGATTCATACCATGTACAGTTATTCGTCCAGCAATATCTCTACCTTCACTGAAATAGCTCAATCATATCAAGCCATATTTTGTGTGCTACCTCATTAATTGGTGTATGTATTCCATCAGACACGTGAATTAAGGATTTCACACTTTCTTTAAAGTAGGTCTAGTAGTATGTACATGTATATTACAGATTGACTTCATACAGTAAATGTACAATTGCTGCTAGAGCCTTTCCACACAGCACAGTGTAGCAGTGAGAAGGGTAAAATTCTGTCTGTCTGCATCTGCCGGGTGATGTTTATCCTTGGCTGTTAAGAGTGTCTGTCTGTCTGTGATGTGGAGGATGGAGAAGGGGTAGGGGCTGAAGGCTCTGGACATTAGCTTCTTATGTTGTCCCTGAGAGTCTCTCTCAGCCACCTGCCTATTCCTCCACCCTACCTTTAGAGCACCAAGAACATTTACTGCTCTTCTGTTCACCCAGCATTCTAAGGACTGTCTATTTACACAAATCGACAATAACAGGCAGCTTGTTTGCCTCAGATTTGGTTTTCTGAAGATAACTTTAGTTGACATGTTTTAGTTAATTTCTAAGAGAGATAGACACATTAAAACCAACAGTCTATTACCCAATTCCCAATAGAGACATGTTGTTGTTGTCTCTTCAGGAATAGATTAATCAACTCATTACTACATCCTGTCACTATGAGCTGCACTGCATGTGTCTATAGTGTGGTTTACTTATCAAATAAATTGACTAATCCTCTCTCTCTGTATCTGTCTGTCTGTCTCTCTCTCTTGTAGGATTTTAAACACTACCTTGTTTGAGAGCTGGGAGATTGTGGGGCCGTACCCATCCTGGTGGGTGTTCAACCTGCTGCTGATCCTGCTGCAGTTCCTGCACTCCTTCTGGTCCTACCTCATAATAATAATAATATGCCATTTAGCAGACGCTTTTATCCAAAGCGACTTACAGTCATGCGTGCATACATTTTTTTGTGTATGGTGGTCCCGGGGATCGAACCCACTACCTTGGCGTTACAAGCGCCGTGCTCTACCAGCTGAGCTACAGAGGACCACCTCATACGGGGGAGGTCCTCTGTAGCTCAGCTGGTAGAGCCCGGCGCTTGTAACGCAAGGTAGTGGGTCGATCCCCGGGACCCATACACAAAAATTTGTTATGCACGCATACTTAAGTCGCTTTGGGATAAAAGCGTCTGCTAACTGGCAATTATTATTTTATTATTTCATAGTTTAAGATAGCCCCTGTCGTCCCATACCCAGAGTAAGGTGATAGCAAGTCAGAGGTCCCTCCTCTCTTACCTCTCCTCCAATGGCTTTTGAGAAGGAGGCGAGAAGAGAGGATGTAGAGTCAAGGAAGCATTGAGATCTCCCCCAGTTCACATTGACAGGGTCCCCAAATGGCACCCTACGTTCACTATGTAGTGCACTACCCTTTGACCAGGGCCCATAGGGAATAGGGTGTAATTGGGAAGCAGTCTTTGTCATATTGTTATACAGTAATGCTTTGCGAGAGGACCAACTTTATGTAGTTAAAGTAATTCTCATTATGTATGTAATTTAGAACTACCATGTTACTTTTTGTAATTGTGGATGCAAAGCATTGGGAAAATCTTCGCACTCAAGCTCACCATACATGTACTGTACTACAGGAGCTTTTCACTAAACTGTTTTGTTGTCAATAGCCTTCATTGATTTGACTTTTCTATCCCTTATGCTAACCTTTCAACCAAGGTGGGGAAGTGGAATCCTTTACATGTAAGTAGTAGAATATAAAGAGGAGAAACTTATTTGTGTATTATTGTCACATGCTATCTCACTAACAAATCACAATTACAGATTGTTCTGAAACGCAAGCCGTCCCTTTAGTTTTTATTGACGTTTTCCTCTTATTTGTAAAATAAGGAAACCAATAGCAATGGCCAACCGCTTGTACTTCCTCTGTCATGACATCAGATTGTATATGAGCTGTTCTAACAGCACCTGCAACTCTCCACAGGTGTCGAAAGACAACCGCAGTGACATTGAGTCCAGCTCTAACGAGGACAACGGTCCTCCGCCCGCTCCTGTTCAGAAGCACCACAACAGCACCACCAACGGGACCAATAAAGCCCATGGGACCAACGGGTACCTGTCAGCAGGGGCCCCGTGTCCAGACGAACACTGACTGCCACTATGAGACATTACAAGCACTGGAGCAAAGCTGCAGACACCATTCATAGATACTACATGTGTGCGTGTGCGATATGAACAACATTGCCTGTCTGGTACTGGAAGTTCTTGTCACGTTCGTTGACAGACGGGACGGACCAAGGCGCAGCGTGATATGCATACATGTTTATTTAAACGTAATAAACCCTCGACAAAACAATAACCCAACGATACGTGACGTCCAAGGTAGACACAAACAACATACCTTATACGGAACAAGATCCCACAACCCACTAGTGCCAATAGGCTGCCTAAGTATGGGCCCCAATCAGAGACAACGAGCGACAGCTGCCTCTGATTGGGAACCACACAGGCCAACATAGATCTAGATATACTAGACTTTAAACATAGATCTACACCACATAGAAAATCACACCCTGACTCAACAAATAAGAGTCCCCAGAGTCAGGGCGTGACAGTTCTTAATAGAAATCTGTGAATGCAGTTCCGTTTTCTGTTTGATTATTTCCATGTTTCCCGTCTCATTTTATTATCTTTCTCTATATTTGCATCAAACTGCACTCAATGAAATATCAAAGCACTCCTGTTGGTACAGCCCACTCTCTGTTTAGCCAATGAATGAAAGCATTCCACTATTATGTTGAAAGCATGCTGTTTAAAATAGTCTTGACAGGCGTACTGGGGATGGTTAATTATGATAGTGTTTTTATGTTATACATTTTTTATAGATTTATGTTTTCAAATGATTGTCAACATGTCTCAATTACTTTATTGTCAGTGTTAAGATGGGCTAATTATGAACCAATCCATAGTGCTCATCAGTTCACTATTCCATCAACAGGTAGACACATTACAGTATGAGTCATGTCATTGGCAAAATGCTAAACACCTGGATTTGCTTTCAATGCTGCACCCCCCTACACATGTCAAAACTGTGACTGAATTTGTTTGGCTCACAAAGTAATAGTAATGTGGTCCCACAACAATGCAATATGGGAAATAGAAAAACAAACATTCTCCATCCATAAGCTGTAAATGAGATATCAGTAAAATATTATGTGTGTGTGCAAAAATATGGGCCATGCTATATTTTAAATTAAAGCATTTTGTTATAAGTATTCTACAACATTTCTGGTAAGTATTTTTACTAAATGTTCATGGCCCTCTTGGAAGACAGATTAAGGTATTAAGCGATGATTCAATTATAACCCATGACGATATTAAAGATTGCAAGTCAGAAAGTATGTTTGTCGATCTGATTAATTTCAATTAGCAGGTAGTGTACATACTTGTTCTTGTGACAAGCAACTAAGTAATATTTGTAGATTACAGAATTGGAATTTAATGGAATGTCGTAAATTGACTAATGAATGTAAATTATTTGTATCTCTTAAAACTTTGATAACCACTCAACGTCAAGTGAATAATGAACGTGATTGCATTTCATAAATGAATCATGACCATGAATCCTTGCGATTGATATTCATTCAAGAATGCTTTCGGGACAATGCCATTGTTTTAAAAATAAATGTCATTCATCTTGCTAATCCAGTCTCATACATTATCATTGAAATATAACTAGATGTGGTGTATATTCAATTTAAAGTAGCATTTGTTTTCAGAGAAAAACAATAGCTCTTCAGGTGCCCATGTAATTTCTCTATTTACTTGTATTGACTAATATGAATCATCGAAGGACACATGGATAGACTACGAAGGGTATTGTGTAGGTCTCTAATGCACTATCATCTTAATGCTGAGCATTGTGGCAATGTATTTACCACCGTCTCTTCTTCCCCGTTGTTGATGTGAAGAGATGACATAATACTTTATTGGCAGTATTATAAACGCCTGGGTTTACTCTGCCTGCAAGAAAGGGAACGTTTTGAAGAGGTAAGGGATTGTACAGTCGTGGTCAAAAGTTTTGAGAATGACACAAGAATTGGTCTTCCCAAAGTTCGCTGCTTCAGTGTCATGAGATATTTTTGTCAGATGTTACTATGGTATACTGAAGTATAATTACAAGCATTCCATAAGTGTCAAAGTCTTTTATTGACAATTACATTCAGTTTATGCAAAGAGTCAATATTTACAGTGTTGACCCTTCTTTTTCAAGACCTCTGCAATCCGCCCTGGCATGCTGTCAATTAATTTCTGGGCCACATCCTGACTGATGGCAGCCCATTCTTGCATAATCAATGCTTGGAGTTTGTCAGAATTTGTGGGTTTTTGTTTGTCCACCCGCCTCTTGAGGATCGACCACAAATTCTCAATGGGATTAAGGTCTGGGGAGTTTCCCGGCCATGGACCCAAAATGTCGATGTTTTGTTCCCCGAGCCACTTAGTTATCACTTTTGCCTTATGGCAAGGTGCTCCATCATGCTGGAAAAGGCATTGGTCGTCACCAAACTGTTCTTGGACGGTTGGGAGAAGTTGCTCTCGGAGGATGTGTTTGTACCATTCTTTATTCATGGCTGTGTTCTTAGGCAAAATTGTGAGTGAGCCCACTCCCTTGGCTGAGAAGCAACCCCACACATGAATGGTCTCAGGATGCTTTATTGTTGGCATGAAACAGGATTGATGGTAGTGCTCACCTTGTCTTCTCCAGACAAGGTGTTTTCCGGATGCCCTAAACAATCGGAAAGGGGATTCATCAGAGAAAATGACTTTACCCCAGTCCTCAGCAGTCCAATCCCTGTACCTTTTGCAGAATATCAGTCTGTCCCTGACGTTTTTCCTGGAGAGAAGTGGCTTCTTTGCTGCCCTTCTTGACACCAGGCCATACTCCAAAAGTATTCGCCTCACTGTGCGTGCAGATGCACTCACACCCGCATGCTGCCATTCCTGAGCAAGCTCTGCACTGGTGGTGCCCCGATCCCGCAGCTGAATCAACTTTAGGAGACAGACAGTCCTGGTGCTTGCTGGACTTTCTTGGGCGCCCTGACGCCTTCTTAACAACAATTTAACCTCTCTCCTTGAAGTTCTTGATGATCCGATAAATGGTTGATTTAGGTGCAATCTTACTAGCAGCAATATCCTTGCTTGTGAAGCCCTTTTTGTGCAAAACAATGATGATGGCATGTGTTTCCTTGCAGGTAACCATGGTTAACAGAGGAAGAACAATGATTTCAAGCACCACCCTCCTTTTAAAGCTTCCAGTCTGTTATTCTAACTCAAATCAGCATGACGGAGTGATCTCCAGCCTTGTCCTCATCAACTCTCTCACCTGTGTTAACAAGAGAATCACTGACATGATGGCAGCTGGTCCTTTTGTGGCAGGGCTGAAATGCAGTGGAAATGTTTTTTGGGGATTAAGTTCATTTTCATGGCAAAGAGGGACTTTGCAATTAATTGCAATTCATCTGATCACTCTTCATGACATTCTGGAGTATATGCAAATTGCCATCATCAAAACTGAGGCAGCAGACTTTGTGAAAATTAGTATTTGTGTCATTCCCAAACATTTTGACCACGACTGTACGTTATTTACACTGAACAAAAATATAAACACAACATGTAAAGTATTGGTCCAATGTTTCATGAGCTGAAATAAAAGATCCCAGAAATGTTCCATACGCACAAAAATATTATTTCTCTCAAATTTTGTGCACACATGTGTTTACATCTCTGTTAGTGAGCATTTCTCTTTTGCCAAGATAATCCATCCATCTGACAGGTGTGGCATATCATTAATCTGATTAAACAGCATGATCATTACACAGGTGCACCTTGTGCTGGGGACAATAAAGTGAGGGAAAAAAGTATTTGATCCCCTGTTGATTTTGTACGTTTGCCCACTGACAAAGACATGATCAGTCTATAATTTTAATGGTAGGTTTATTTGAACAGTGAGAGACAGAATAACAACAACAAAATCCAGAAAGAACCTTGTCAAAAATGTTATAAATTGATTTGAATTTTAATGAGAATCAGAAAGATTTCTGGCTCCCAGGTGCCTTTTATACAGGTAACGAGCTGAGATTAGGCGCACACTCTTAAATGGAGTGCTACTAATCTCAGCTTGTTACCTGTATAAAATACACCTGTCCACAGAAGCAATCAATCAATCAGATTCCAACTCTCCACCATGGCCAAGACCAAAGAGCTCTCCAAGGATGTCAGGGATAAGATTGTAGACCTACACAAGGCTGGAATGGGCTACAAGACCTTCGCCAAGCAGCTTGGTGAGAAGGTGACAACAGTTGGTGCGATTATTTGCAAATGGAAGAACCATAGTCACCAAGAAAACAATTGGTAACACACTACGCCGTGAAGGACTGAAATCCTGCAGCGCCCGCAAGGTCCCCCTGCTCAAGAAAGCACATATACAGGGCCATCTGAAGTTTGCCAATGAACATCTGAATGATTCAGAGGAGAACTGGGTGAAAGTGTTGTGGTCAGATGAGACCAAAATCGAGCTCTTTGGCATCAACTCAACTCGCCGTGTTTGGAGGAGGAGGAATGCTACCTATGACCCCAAGAACACCATCCCCATCGTCAAATATGGAGGTGGAAACATTATGCTTTGGGGGTGTTTTTCTGCTAAGGGGACAGGACAACTTCACCGCATCAAAGAGACGATGGACGGGGCCATGTACCATCAAATCTTGGGTGAGAACCTCCTTCCCTCAGCCAGGGCATTGAAAATGGGTCGTGGATGGGTATTCCAGCATGACAATGACCCAAAACACACGGCCAAGGCAACAAAGGAGTGGCTCAAGAAGAAGCACATTAAGGTCCTGGAGTGGCCTAGCCAGTCTCCAGACCTTAATCCCATAGAAAATCTGTGGATGGAGTTGAAGGTTCGAGTTGCCAAACGTCAGCCTCGAAACCTTAATGACTTGGAGAAGATCTGCAAAGAGGAGTGGAACAAAATCCATCCTGAGATGTGTGCAAACCTGGTGGCCAACTACAAGAAACGTCTGACCTCTGTGATTGCCAATAAGGGTTTTGCCACCAAGTACTAAGTCATGTTTTGCAGAGGGGTCAAATACTTATTTCCCTCATTAAAATGCAAATTAATTTATAACATTTTTGACATGCGTTTTTCTGGATTTTTTTGTTGTTATTCTGTCTCTCACTGTTCAAATAAACCTACCATTAAAATTATAGACTGATCATATCTTTGTCAGTGGGCAAACATACAAAATCAGCAGGGGATCAAATACTTTTTTCCCTCACTGTAAAAGGACACTCTAAAATGTGCAGTTTTGTCACACAACACAATGCCACAGATGTCTCAAGTTTTGAGGGAGTGTACAATTGGTATGCTGACTGCAGGAATGTCCACCAGAGCTGTTGTCAGAGAATTGAATGTTCATTTCTCTACCATAAGCCACCTCCAACGTTGTTTTAGAGATTTATCAGTACGTCCAACCAACCTCACAACAGCAGACCATGTGTATGGCGTCGTGTGGGCGAGCGGTTTGCTGATGTTAACGTTATAAACACAGTGCCCTAGGGTGGCGGTGGGGTCATGGTACGGCCAGGCATAAGCTACGTACAACGAATGCGGTTGCATTTTATCGATGGCCATTTAAATGCACAAAAATACCGTGATGAGGTCCTGAAGCCTATTGTGAGGCCCATTGTTTTAAGGTATCTTTGACCAACAGATGCATATCTGTTCTC